CCGATGTTAAGTGAGTTCGCGCGAGAACAATCGTAGGATGGGTAAGCCACTCAGAAGTTCTCAAGTGAGTTATTAGAAACAAAACTGTGAGGGCGTGATTAGGTCCCAAAGCGGACAATATCGTGCTACGGTGGAGTCAAACCTAGGATGTGGTGGGGACTCGGGCCGGGATGTGACATGTTGAGCACTTGCATGATGGTGTGAGTTCAAATCCCGCTAGGGACTAATCTAACAAAATCTATCGTTTGACAAAAAAAAAAAAAATTGTCAATGAGAAAATATAAAAGAAATTAGTGACACACAAATATGTAAATACATAAGTGTACAGAAATGACTGTACCAAAATGTTTGTACCGACATTTATTATAATGAACCTAAATGTAAGTCCTGAAATATATTATATTGAATTAATGTACCTATATGTCAATATCGAAATGCATGTACCAAAATGTATTACATTGAACTAATGTACCAAAATTTACATATCAAAATGTATTATATATTTGTATCGATGGATATACGGTGAAATATATCAAATGAATTAATGTACTTAAATAAAATATTATACAAATTGTATTGGAATATATTATATAAAAAAATTAGTTTACCTAAATGTAGACATCAAAATATATTATGATGAATGAAATGAATATTAAATGTAATTGATACATTAAAATAGGAAAAAAGAAGAAATAAAGCATCAAAATATAATTAACGCTGGTGGAGCCAGGTAAAGGGCTGCCCTGGGCTGTAGCCCAGGTAGCTTCTAGTGAAAAATAAAATTTTACATGTAATTTTGATTGATTTTCGAATGTAACCCACCATATATTTAGTCATTAATCCGAATTCTTTAGATTTAACTATATAAAATTATATAATAGGGTTTACATACCACCTTTTTTTTTTCTTACATCCTTTTTTTCATCGTTTCTTGTACATGTACAAGTTTGGATTTGTTTGAATTTTAACACGTATTTATTTAATTACTAAATTTTTTGCCTCACCTTGTGAATTTTTTAAGCTAGTTGATATAACAAAAAATACGGTATCAAGTTTCTTTATTTATAAAAATTAAAATTTTAAGCTAGCCCGCCCGGTAAAAGATTCCTAGCTTCGCCATTGATAATTAATAAATGAGATGATTAAATGTATTAAGCGACTAAAATTAGATTTTAATCTTACACAAGGTTATAGTCTAAAAGTCATCTTTTTTAAGGATTAAAATGAAGTTTTCTATTTTTTTTTTATAGTTAAACCCTCTAAATTATACTCTCTACGCCCCTTAAAACTTGACTTTAATCTCACTTTACTCCTTGTAACTCAAAAGCCACTACTTTACTCCTTGAAATTCAAAATCCGCTCCATTTTACCCATTTGAACTTGATTTTTATTTCATTTTGTCTCTTGAAACTCAAAATACGTCATTTTACTCTATAAAACCCAAAATTCACTCCATATTGCCTTAGTTATGTTGATTCCATTATGTGAGTTTCGGTTGGGTGCACCAGACTAATCAATTTTTTTTTTTTTTTTTATTTTCATCTTTGCAACTCAAGGACAACAACCCAAAAAATTCAATTCTTAATTTCTTTTTTTAAACATTAATATTTTCTAAATTGTTGAAGGCTAATGCATAGTGGAGATTTATAATCAAATTCATTAGCACATGTGGCATAGTCTTATTGAGTGGTGGGTCTCACGTATGTTTCAAGAGTCAACTTTTGAGTTTTAGGGAGAAGAGACAGTTCAAAGTCAAAGTAGAATGAATTTTGAGTTTCAGAAGTAAAATTATGATTTTTAAGTTATAAGAGACAAAATGAGATCAGAATCAAATTTTAAGAGGCGTAGCTAAATATAAGTCTTCTATTTACACCATATAAGATCTCAATTATCGCTAGTTTCTCAACATTTCAAATCAAAATTTTCGGTCAGCTTAGTTACAATTATTACCATCCACGACCTTCTCTAGTAATTTATTTTGGCTTTCGTGAACAATTGGACGCCAAAATTTTAAATTAAGAACCAAAAAGATAAAAGAATTTTTAATAATTTCCTATATATACAATTGAAAAAGGTTTTCCAATCGTGATGTTGATCTTGGTCTGGTCAAATTGGTATGACCATGTAGCAAAAAACAAAGGCATTTTAATATAAATTTGCCTTCTCTAACATACATATAGAAAGAGCGTATCAAACATTCCTTCCTTCCTTCAATGAACAGAACATTGATCAATACTCCAATTTATTCCCTTGATACCATTCATTAACAAAACTTAGTTCTTTAATTGTCACAGCATGATAACATATATAGAGTTATAACTTGTTTAAATTCTTTCATCTAATAAAAATACACTTGGTCGGAAAACCCTACTCAGATGTGTGATAGTATGTGCCAAGCGGCTTAGTTATATGAAAGCGAGAGAGTGTTTGGTTAATTTGACATTGTATAATCGTATTTTCTAATCGAAGTATATGTACATTATCGGTTAAGATGGTCGGTTCACGTGTCCAAATCATCTTAACATATTTTTTCTCATTGAAAACAGGATGAGAGAAAATCGGTTAAGATGGTTTTGACACATTAACCAAAGACCTACAGATGCTTCGATTAGAAGATGTGGCTAAATATGAGAGAGAAACTTGGGTTAAAAGTAGTAGAGGAAGACTTAAGAAAACTTAGGAAGAAACTTTAAGAAAATATATGAAGTACTTGACGCTAACGAAAGATTTAGGGCAAAATCAATCGCATTGGGCATTCTAAGATTCATACGGTCGACACCCTTGGTGTGATAATATTTGACATTGCATAAGGTTTTTATGCAAGATGCTAGCTGTTGCCGTAATATGCTGCAGGAAGGAATATATCAATGCACTACAGCAGACAGATATTTATATTCACCCACTTTTCAGATTTTGTAAAGGCAAATTCATGTGATGTTCTGCGACAAGAACAACAGATCGAACCAAGCAATTGGAAATCAAATATTCAATCACAAGTTGAAGGAAGAGATAATGATCATTTACAGAGAAAATTAATTTAGCATTTTAAAAAGCAAATTCCCCAACCTACACATATTCTAACACTTTTGACCATATTTTGCAAAAATTCTTCCTTCAAACTGTTAATAAACTCAGAAGTTCGATTACTTCACTTGCAATTCATTTCACTGCTTTATTCTTCCTCAAAACCCTCCAAAGTTAAACAACTCTAATCATATGACTCATTTAAAAGTGTTTTTAAAATAATTGAATTTTTAGCGAAATTTTTTTGGATTCAAAAAGCTCTTAAGTAAATCCTTTTTAAAGAAGTACATAACTGATGCTTGTTACAGGAAGCACTTTAAGTACTTTTTGAAAATTCACTTGTATTTTTACTAAAAATTGATTCCAAAAATATTTCACTAGAAGCACTTTCAATCATTTTATAAACACTTCCAAATGAGCTCATTATTTACAATCATTGGGATTGAAATGACCAAAAAGATTTGCTGTTTGGGGTTATTACTAAAACGACACTGTTCTGAAGACACAAAACTGATCATATTACTAACACACGATCTATTAATAAAGGTGAGATCAACCGTTCCATTCTATCTGACGCTTATGTATATTAGACATTATGTCAGGCTGTCAGCAATGTGATTAATTTTCTGCAATTAAATAAAGGGAACTTTAACAAAGAGCCCCGGTATTGTTCACTTTAACGAAAAACCATATTTTTACACTAAAAAGTCAATCTTGATACTATTCACTTTATTATTTATTTTACTATTATCGTTAAAACTCAAAATTTTCAAATCCTTTTAATTAGTTTTTTTTTTTAAATAAACCTCTTTTAAGTTTTACTAAAAATGAGAAGGAATTACAAACTTGGAAGGAAAATGATACCAAGAAAGGTGTTCGAGCTACCATGTGTCAGCCTACCTACATAGCTCTGCTTTGCCTAAAGAACATGACCACAGGAAATCAAACTGGAATCTACCTTTTGATATTTGATGACTAAAAGCCCCTGAATTTTTACTATAATTACAGATTGACCTTCTCTATTGTTTATTAATAGTTTAATACTTAACCATCATAAAAAGGGAATAAGGCATACGCTAAAAGTTAATCAGTGCACAATAGCATGTAGGAGTGTTTTTATCTTTAATTACTAGATAAAATAAAATTGATTTTGTTAATGGAGAGAGTTCGAAGAGGATAATTTCGAACTCGAGATGTATAGGTAAATTCAACACTTCTATTCACTAAGATATTAAACTATATGTAATGTGTCTGAACTTTAATTTCTCTTCAAAGAGGAATAACTTCTTATATGAAAAGAGCAAAGTATATTTTTTCTTCTTAAGGATAGTGATTTCACATTCACATTCACATTTTCTTCTTTTGCACTCATTTTTTTGTTTTTATGTTGTGATTTATTCAATCCTATAACAAGAAAAATAAGTGAGGGCGAGCCTTGGACATAATGGAAACATTATTTTTTTGTGATCAAAAGGTCACATATTCGAGTCGTGAAAACAATCTCTCTGCAAAGTAAGGATAAGATTGCGTACAATAGATTTCCTCCCTTCTCTCTTCTCTTTTCAACGATTGTAAAGCGAGAGAAACCTTATTGTCTTGAAAGTCACTTCTTTTTACCTAAATAGAAAGGAAGTGGATTGTCTGCCTTCCCATTTCCATACTCTCTCCATGTCTTCCTGTGATGTGTGATCACGGTTAAGCCATGTCAACATTTTATATTAATTTTTTATAGAAATAATAAAACAAAAAGTAATAGAAATATAAAATATTGACGTGACTTAACCGTGACCACACAAAAAGAAAGGCATGAAGAAAGTATGGAAATAGGATGACAGACACTCCGCCTCCAAATAGAAAGGCAATAACCATGTTTTCACTCCTAAGTTCCTAACACAAACAAAATCAACACCAAAGGCCAATATGGGGATTAACAAAAACTTTAATAAAGGTTCTATATAAACAGTCATTTCTCTCCTCAACTTTTCATATCTGACAAAGCACCAAACAAGAAGAATAAAAGAGAGATTTCTTATGTTCTTGTTTTAATTCCACCAGCATATGAAGCATTCATCATTAAAATACATAGCCAGGAAGTAGATATCCGTTGCTGAGCATCGTTTAATTTCTAGCCTCGCCATGATTTCTCTAACAGATGTCTACCATGTTGTGGCAGCCACTGTTCCTCTATATGTTGCCATGATTTTGGCCTACCTTTCTGTGAAATGGTGGAAGCTCTTCACGCCAGATCAATGCTCTGGAATTAACAAATTTGTTGCCAAATTCTCAATCCCTCTTCTGTCCTTTCAAATCATTTCTTCCAACGACCCTTACAAAATGAACCATAAACTCATCCTCGCGGACTGCCTCCAAAAACTGACTGCATTCCTGGCACTGGGAGCAGTCACTAAATTCAGTTCCTATGGCGGGTTGAATTCCATCATAACCGGCCTCTCTCTTTCGACGCTTCCTAACACGTTGATCCTCGGGATTCCGCTGCTGAAGGCCATGTACGGGGATGAGGCGGCCAAGCTTGTGACACAGATAGTTGTGTTGCAGAGCTTAATCTGGTACAATATGCTGCTGTTTCTGTTCGAGTTCAGGGCCGCTAAGGCGGCGTCTGTCACACCTTCATCGGAACCCACTGCAGGTAATTAGCATTCAAACATTGCATTTGAAATTGAAGAGCGTAAGAAAAAAGCATCACCAAATTCGGCACACGTGCACGTTACCGGATTATATTCTAAACTTATGAACAGAAAGCGGTCTTACCATTTATTGAGTCGGTTTCATTTTTTTTCTTCTTTAACTTTACTATTAATAATTGATAGCTACACTGCATTGCCTCTTAATTTCAAATCATGTTGTACTCTAACATCATCAATCTTTTGGTCTTGTTTCTGTTCAAAGAGGAAATGGACGTGCCTCACGAAGCGCAATCGAAAGATGAGACGGAGGACTGAAACGAGAGCCAACAATACTAAGAAGATCAAATCTATTCTGTTAACAGTTGGGAGGAAGCTTATAACCAACCCAAACACTCATGCAACATTTTTGGGTCTGATTTGGGCAAGCATACACTACAGGTAGGCACACTTTCGTCGCTTTTGTTGGTTCGATTTGTGTATTTCTTGGCATCGGGTTGAATTATAATCTGTTGCAGGTGGGAAGTGAAGCTGCCAGAAATCATTGCGCAATCAATCGCGATACTGTCGAATGGAGGACTTGGGATGGCAATGTTCAGCTTAGGTATGAAGAAACATGAGGAAAACTACTGATCACCTGCCATGTTATTTGAACATTAACAGTTGGACACATGAATTAATTTCTGCTGCTTATAGGCCTTTTCATGGCATCGCGCGGTAGCATAATAGTGTGTGGGACACGAAAGGCGATGATAGCCATGGGATTGAAGTTCATAGCCGGCCCTGCGATAATGGCGGTGTCCTCCTTTGTAGTTGGACTAAGGGGCAGAGTTCTCAGAGTGGCAGTAGTGCAGGTACATATATATCTTTTCTTCTCTGTAGTGTATGGTACACAGGAATGCTAAATAGTCTGTTGTTTAATTACTGCAGGCAACTCTTCCTCAAGGAATTGTTCCTTTCGTGTTTGCGAAAGAATATAATGTACATCCAGACATTTTGAGCACCGGGTAACGATTGATTTTGTTCATCTCGTATTATATATCGCTGGTTGGACGGTAGAACCTCTCCAACTACACAATTCTGAGACGATATGGTTTTGTTTTTGTTGTTGCAGGGTTATTTTTGGGATGCTCATTGCATTGCCAATAGCATTGGCCTACTACTTCCTTCTGGGATTGTAAATTACGCAGTTTCACCATGAAGATACTGGATCAGAATACCAACGATTCGAAAGTTCCGAAATCGATTAAATCGAAACTTTGTGCAGCACAGTTTGAGTACTATGAAATGGTGATCAAATTGCTGAGGGATGAGGATAGATTATTGGAAGTCTCTCATTTAATTTTTTAGAATTTGTTTCACATGTAATATGGCTGATATGTTTACTACATACATACATACATGAATGTCATAGGAATTCACGTGAAAACAAAGTACCGACTGTCGACTACTTTTATACATGAATGTATCTATTAAACAGACTATGACCGACTCCTATTTTCTGGTCCAATCTGACGTTTTATTCCAAGCTTAATTATATATAGCAGGCATGTCTACCCCGCTACCTAGGCATGAGTCATTGAGAAAGTGATCACTCACTTTGGACAATCGACGTAAGTGTTCACTTGTGCCAAAACTTCATAAATTCGTGAGTTTGACATTTTTATCTTCATCAAGACAGACAATATTTTAAAAAAATTGCGTGCGACTAAACAAAACACTACGTCCGAGTCCCGTTGTGTATGAATGTGTAACTCACGTACTTTAATTAATAAAGCTAATTTATAAATGATAAATCCGTAAAGACCTTGATATGTATTTTGAGATAACGTTTGGTAAACTAACTTTTTAGATTGCATTGCAAATCATGCGAGGTGTCACTAATATAAAATAAGCACGTTAATCAATACTTAAGTAATAACTCAATCATCAACAATCATGTCAGATAATTCACAAAATATAATTTAACTAGATGATCTCTCTAGCATTACCCTATAACTTTGATTTATAACATGAAATAGTGATAGTTTTATAAATCTATCCATCTCTATCTTTGATAGGCATATCATGTCACACATATGTAAATTCTCATATATTCTTTTACGGAATAGTGATAGTTTTATAAATCTATCCATCTCTATCTTTGATAGCATATCATGTCACACATTTGTAAAATCTCATACATCTTTTACGGTTGTTAATTTGGATATGTTATTTATCATTTTTTATTTGTAATTTCACTGCAGAAGTGAAGATTAGGCCACAAAGTTGAAAGTAATACACACTTATATCAGTATAAACGTAAATATACTGATAGACACACATCATACATGTATATACATTTATATGTGAAAAAAGTATAAATAAAATATGTATACATACTTTTCTTTTAGTAAAAAAAAATTGTTAATATACAGTACTCTCGCACGTACCACTTGCAAGATGTAACATTAAAAGAAAAATAGAGATTAATCAAAAGTTTAATTAAAGGCCTTCAATTATCAATTACAACTGAAAAGGAACACATTAAATTGCAATTAAACGAAAATGTATTATCCTCCTTAAACACTCTATCTTAACTTTCATGAATTTTGAATTATTTACTAAACAAAATTATATTATCCTTCTTAAACACTCTATTTTAACTTTAAAATTTTAAATAATAATTCAAAATTTATAAAAAATTAAATGCACATCCAAGTCAAGAAGTCCATGAGCATGCACATTAAGACCATATATGACTTGGGGCAAGACATTAATTGTTTAATTAAGACCATATATGACTTAAGGCAAGACATTAATTGTTTAACTTAAATATAAATTTTGATATGCATTCGAGAGAAATTGTAAAGTTTTTATGTCGCATAGTCCTACAGTTTAGTAATATTTTTCTTCACTTGTAAGTGAGAGATCTTAGATTTGAATCTCACTACTGGCACACTTCCTCTCCCTAGAAACCTCCCCCTCTCTCCTATGTCTTCCTCTCCCTTTCACCCATCCTTCCTTCCACCACATCCACACTTTGTTCCCCATCCACAACCCCCACGGGTCTTTCAAGAGGTATGTCGAGATCGGAAGGGTGGCTATCGTCAACTACGAAGAGGATTACCAGAAGCTCGTCATCGTCGCTCACCACCCATCCTTCCTTCCACCACCTCCATACTTCGTCGCCCAACCACCGTCCCTATGGGTCCACAACTTCTCTCTTGTATTTGCAAATCCTAAAATTTGAAATTAGGATTTTAATTTGTCAAATTGGGGATTTGGGGAATTATTTTCGATTTAGAGTTTTAATTTGTTAAATTGGTGATTTGAGGATTAATATTTGTCAAATTGAGGATTTGGGAATTAATTTTCGGGGTTAGGAGTGGAATTGAGTGTATGGCAAGTAATTAAAACCAAACCCCCTCGATTGCACTTGTAGCTAAAGTAAGTAACTCAAAATCAGCCCTTTAACGAACAATGCAATTTCATCCCCAACTTTAGAGTATAATAATATTATAGATCATTTGTTATTTGTTGGATATAGTGTGTACACATTGAAGATGTGGTGAGTACTAATAGTCTATCATATTACAAATCATTTGTCATTTGCTACCTACCTATAATGGGTGGCATGTGGCTGTGCACGCATTGAACATGATACTTAAGATGCAGTGGACTAGCTACTAAGTTTGAGCCACTTGATGTACGACTTGTTTGTCAAAATATGAAATTTGGTACCATCACAACGCTATTAAGAAATTTTTTGTCGTGCATCAGTATAAAGATCGTAAGAGTTTTGACCAATAAAAAAGAAAAGATTCTTGTAATTCTAAACAAGTGACGTCACTTTCACAGCCACCTAGTTTGTTATCATATGATCATCACAATCATTTTATCTTTAAACACCAAGAAAAAATAATGAATATACTATATAAAACGTATTATTTATTTTCCTGGTCAATTATATAATAAAAAGAAGATAAAGACCTTTACTTTTGGGAAATGAAAAGACCAATTTGGTAAATTCACCCGGTCAAATGGCTTGGCCGAAACGCCAAGCATCACTTGATAAATTCACATTATATAAAAAATGGGAAGAAAAAAAAAAAACCCTAAATAGGCAAATCAACGGTGAGAAAATCGAGATCCGACGGTCCTCATTTAATCGAGAAATAAAAAAATAGAGTAAAAACAAAATCTCGCCGAAAAGAAAGGTGAAATTGAAATCGGGTGGTGATTTAGGGTTTTCGCCTCCCCCAATATATATCGCTCGTCGCTTTCGCCGTTTCTCAGTTCCCCTTCTCAGAGAGCTACAGAGACACCCAAGTCCCTTCTGGGTTTCCATTGTTCGCGTTCCAATCCCAATCTTTGCTGAGAAGATGGTGGGACCTGGGCTTTACACCGACATCGGCAAGAAAGCCAGAGGTATAGCTATCCCTCTTTTTATATTATCTGATATATGTATATATACATGTATATGTATAAATTTGGTTGTAAAAAATTGATGGGTTTTTCTTAGATTTCGTTTTTTGCTAATGGGTTTTTGTTAAATTTCAGATCTTCTGTACAGGGATTACCAGAGCGACCATAAGTTCACCATCACCACCTTCTCTCCCACTGGAGTGGTGAGTTCTTTCGCACTTTTTTCTTGCCCTGAGATCTGTATTTGTATATGTATATTCACTTGTTGAATCTGTAGGGTTTCGTTTCATGCTCTGAGATATAATTTTGTTCCACTTTCGGTGAAATTATTCGCCTCCGATTAAAACTTCGAACTTTTTGTTTCATATTATGCTTAGAATTTGGTGGCGTTTAAGCAGGAAGTGTCAATTGTTAATTTATTGCTGTGAATGTGTTGAAATGGCTAGTCGAACTAGCATCTTGTTCGTCTTAGTTATTCGATTTTGTTTAATTTAAGAACGTTTTGATTTTAGGCTGGGTGCCGATTCTTTGCTAGTTTTGTTAGTTAACCTTTTCTGTAGAACTTTTTTATTTGTGTTATTAGATTTAGCTGAGTTTAACAAATTTAGTGAAATTTCTAGCCAAACATAGGATTTAATGAGCAGCACTGATATTAAAAGTGATTCGTATAATTTTCCATGTGTTCCCTACATGCTTATGCCCATTGCCATTTGCCTTGCGCATACCTTTCTTACCGACTCTTTGTTCAACTCGATCCGCCATATAGTTTGCAAGTTCTAAGTTAACCATGTATCCTACATGTACTTACTTCTTCATATTTGCAGGCTATCACTTCTTCAGGAACGAAGAAAGGTGAGCTGTTTCTGGCTGATGTGAATACTCAGTTGAAGAACAAGAATGTCACAACTGATGTCAAAGTTGACACCGACTCCAATGTAAGTCCCACATCCATTTATGTTTCTTTTCCATCTATTCTGTTACAGGATCCTATTGAGGTGATGATTGCAAATGCCAAAAGTATTTTCTTTTCTTTTACTTTTTGTTGGACATACACACATCCATTAGAAATAGTGTTAAATGTTCATTCAGATATAACGGAATTGAGGAGCTTTAATGCATTTGGAACCGAATAAAGTAATTATTTTAACTTATACTCATCTTTTCTTGCTAAAGTCGGTTTACCAATGGTTTATTTTGTTATCAGCTGTCCACCACTATTACGGTTGATCAACCTGCTCCTGGCCTGAAGGCAATCTTTAGCTTCAAAGTTCCTGATCAGAGGTCTGGCAAGGTAGGACTGTTATGCCTGATTTTTTATCTGTCACTCGTCTATTAAGTTTGCCAATATGTGGTAGAACTTGTGGGTGGAGTTGACTCTCTGTATTAAAGCATTTCATTAATCGGGATCATTTGTAGAATTGCTATCTAATATGTGGGTGATTGTTAACAGGTGGAACTCCAATATCTGCATGACTATGCAGGGATAAGCTCCAGTGTTGGTTTGACAGCGAACCCTATTGTTAACTTCTCTGGTGTTATTGGAACCAATCAGCTTGCACTTGGTACTGATCTGTCATTTGACACCAAGACCGGGAATTTGACTAAATGCAATGCTGGACTGAGCTTCTCCAATGCTGATCTAGTCGCTGCATTGACCCTGTAAGTATTCTTTTGGTTGTCTACGACTGGCTATTTGATTTTACGTATATTGGCTTTGTGATACTGAAGTTTTGGTGCATGGTGTGATAAAGATTTTTTTTCCCATGATACAGGAATGATAAAGGTGACATCCTCAGTGCATCCTACTATCACAGTGTCAATCCCCTTTCCAACACAGCTGTTGGCGCTGAGGTGACCCACAGGTTTCCTACCAACGAGAATACCATCACTCTTGGCACCCAGCATGCCCTGGATCCATTGACATCCATTAAGGCACGCGTAAACAACTTTGGCAAAGCAAGTGCCCTGATCCAGCACGAGTGGCGCCCAAAGTCATTCCTCACTGTTTCAGGAGAGGTAGACACCAAGGCCATTGAGAAGAGCGCCAAGATTGGGTTGGCTCTTGCTCTCAAGCCATGAGCGGGTTTATTGCTCACTGCGGCAGGGAGCAGAGGTAGAGCGTAATATAGTTGTCTTTCCAGGCTGACATTTCTTTGGTTCTAAATGTTTCTTTTTTTTCTTGGAACAAGTCCATATGGTAGGGGAAATCGTTCTGTTTTGATGGCTTCGGTTTGTAAAAATAAAAATTCGATGGTTTCAGACATGTTTTGCGACCGTTTTCATGCTTGCGTTAGCGGAGGATGATGAAGCCTGGTAGTCTTCAAATGTTGTTACCATTTTTCGTGGCTGTTTCGGCTCTTCTTTTCTTCCTCCTATAATCAATGATATTTCGGCCTTCGTTGGCATCTTGAATTTGAGAAGTCCGTTTGGAATGTTAGCATTTTATTTACTCCGTTCATTACTGAATACTGATGATGTGGTATCGGAAGGCAAATTCTTAGGTTCGGACGACGAGAACCCGTCACTGTCCGGCTTAAGACAAAACCGCCCCACCCAGCCCCACCTCTGCCGTGTATTCTGTCCCTACCCGGTGATTTTTCGGCCGAACGGCCATGAACTTCCACACAGAAGAATTCCTAAAGCAAATGAGTGTAGTGGGTAGCTTTGTCTTATTTGTCGAATTTTTACCTCTCTTCCAAAACGAGCAAGTTAAACAAAACCATATATAATTAGGAGACCAAACAAAATAAAACCCCTTAAATGTTTCCTAGTTTTCCAAACAAGTACCAATCTCACTAGGTTTTCTAATTTCCCACCTAAACTCGGAAGCTGAAATTTCACATCCAAAGCATCCCTACAAATAAACAAGTCCGATCGACAGTCTTATTCACAACCACCTTACGTACCAAATCAAAAGCATCAACATGGCAAGCATGCTCTCTTCTCTTGCTTTCGTCATCTGCGTTCTCTGTTTTTTCGGCGTTGACCCCGCAGGCCGCCCCTGCTACAGCCCCGTTCCTTTTCCCGGAAGCTCAATCAGCCGTCCTTCCCGACCCTTCAACCTTCTTCGCCCCGAACCTCCTCTCATCCCCACTCCCCACCAGCTCATTCTTTCAAAACTTTGTCCTCCACAATGGCGACCAACCGGAGTACATACACCCCTACATCACCAGATCAGCCAACTCTTCCCTGTCTTTCGCTTACCCATCTTTCTCCTACACCTCTACCGTCGTATCCACATCCCCGTTCGAAGCCGACCTCACCATCTTCGCCTCAAATTCAAACAGAAACGGCCACCATGTAGTCTCCGACTTCAATGACCTCAGTGTGACATTGGACTTTCCCTCCTCCAACCTCCGCTTCTACCTGGTTCGAGGAAGTCCCTTTCTCACCTGCTTTGTTTACCGCCCCACGTCGGTTTCTATATCGACCGATCATACAATTGTCTCGGCATCCTCAGCGAGTGGCTCAAACACTAAGTTCATCGTCAAGCTCAACAACGATCAAACATGGCTAGTATACACGTCGTTACCAACTGAATTAACCGACAGCGGCTCATCCACGTTAACTCTTAAAGAATTTTCTGGGGTTGTTCGTTTTGCTGTAATGCCGGATCCTGATCCTAAATCTGAGGGAATTCTTGACCACTTCAGTTCTTGTTACCCGGTTTCTGGTGCAGCTGTGCTCGAAAACTCAAATACTTTGTCGTATAAATTTGAAAAGATAGGTGGAGACTTGCTCATGCTAGCTCATCCTCTACACCTCAAGCTTCTGTCCAATGCAACAGTTTTGCAGGATTTTAAGTACAAAAGCATTGACGGCGATTTGATTGGCGTTGTTGGTGATTCGTGGGTGTTAGCACCAAAGCCTATTCCAGTTACTTGGAATTCCGTTGGAGGTGTCAAAAAGGATTCATTCCCTGAAATCATATCTGCGCTTCGTCGAGACGTTGACGCTCTTAGTTCTACACAATCAACTACTTCATCTTCATATTTTTATGGGAAACTGGTTGCTAGAGCGGCAAGGCTGGCTCTGATCGCCGAGGAGGTAGCTTTCCCTGATGTGATCCCCGTGATTAGGACATTCTTAAGGGAGAAAATCGAGCCATGGTTGGATGGTACTTTTAGCGGCAACGGATTTTTGCACGATAATAAATGGGGTGGACTTGTTACGAAATCCTCCACGGCTGATCCAGGTGCTGATTTCGGGTTTGGTCTTTATTCCGATCACCATTTTCATCTGGGGTACTTTATATATGGAATTTCCGTGTTAGCAAAGATTGATCCTGCATGGGGGGAGAAGTACAAGCCTCAAGCTTACTCACTCATGGACGATTTTCTCAACAAGGACAAGCAATCGAATCCAAATTATCCGCGTCTGAGAACCTTTGATCTTTATAAATTGCACTCGTGGGCGGGAGGGTTGACAGAATTCGCAGACGGGAGGAATCAAGAGAGCACGAGTGAGGCGGTTAACGCTTACTATGCAGCTTCTCTGATGGGAAAAGCCTATAACGACGCGCAACTTGAGGCCACCGGTTCACTGCTTACTACATTGGAAATTCAGGCAGCTCAAATGTGGTGGCATGTGAGAGAGGGAGGAGACAGTCAAATTTACGAGCAAGATTTCGCGAAGGAAAACCGAGTTGTGGGAGTTTTATGGGCGACCAAGAGAGACAGCGGGCTTTGGTTTGCGTCTGCGGAGGCAAGAGAAATCAGACTTGGAATCCAAATACTGCCTGTTTTACCAGTTACTGAGGTATTATTCTCGGACGCGGGTTTTGCTAATGAGCTAGTGAACTGGGCATTGCCGGCGCTCAGCAGGACGGGAGTCACGGAAGGATGGAAGGGATTTGTATTTGCATTACAAGGGATGTACGACAAAGAAGGCGCTTTGGAGAAGATTAGAAGCTTGAAAGAATTCGACGACGGGAACTCCCGCAGTAATCTCTTATGGTGGATTCACAGTAGATGAACTTTTGTTGGATAATTTCTTCGTGTATGAGTTTAGTTTTATATTTTTTGTTTAATTTCATATTCTTTATGTAACGAAACGAAGTCATAAGTTGCAATGCTGTGGATGCAAACGACAGTTTTTTCTTCATCTGATTTCTGGAAACATATAATTTATAAGAAAATCAACATGATAAAGAACAATTGTCACACCAACTAATAATAATTAGGGAGTCAAGCACTGCAGATGCATTTGTTCGTCCGAAGTTTTCATCCCATCTCTATTCCTTAGCATAATCGGCTTGAAGGAGACCCTGTTGAATCTGCGAAGCAATGTTCTTGACCGCACCTGGCCCGTGCGGCATGATAACAGACGATACCTTTGAGGATGCACCAATCTCCTTCATGGTGTCAACAATGGCCTGCGGCTGGTGCGCTATGCCAAGCCCTACCGAATACTTGGACTCCGGCCTCTCCTTCCGCTCGCTTGATCTGCATGATTTTCTCTGCTTCAACCTTTTCTCTCACCGCCAATCTCTGCCTTGCAGCTGATATGATGACAGATAGCAAAACTTATAAACTGAGCAACAACCAAATCATAAAATTGAAATTTCGGAACAATGTGCGTGACATTTTTGAGTGGAAATTACCCGCATTGATCTCATTCATCGCTCTCTTCACATGAATTTCTGCCACAATATCGACAATAAGGGTCTGGACTATTTCGAAATCATAAGCAGACATTGCATGTAACGAAAAAAATGGCTAATATTTCAATTGGTTCTCAACAAATGTTACACAAAGATATAACCTTTTCTGTTAAAAACAAACAATTGTTTCACCTTTGTAAGCTCCTCGTCAACAGCTTTTGCTATGTCACTCTTCTGCTCAAAGGCAGAATCAAGCTCAATTTCGGCACTCTTGCCCTAAAAACTGAAGAGTAAGAAAGTAGCTTCCAATCTATACAAGCAACAATGTCTACCAATCACTTTCTGCAAGTCTTTCCATCAAACACGTCGGTCCGAATCTGTGAGTTGGCGTTTGAGAGCTTGTAGCTAGCTTTCCGCATCTTATCTGGCAATGCGCAATATTGAATCGATGCAACCACTTTGACAAACACATTATCCTGAAAAGACCAATTATGTCACATATTGAGATTTTATCTCCGGCATAATTTCACATACTATAGTCTGACATAAACATTGTGGATTTCACTACAGATCGTTCCGGGAATGTAAAGTAAGGGCTAAATTCAGAAGGCATAAACCTGTTGAATTGTAATTTTGTCTTGGCCCAAAAAAATAATTGATCCGGCCCATACACAAAGAAAGATCCATGCACATGCTAGAGAATTCTAGCAAAGTTCAAGTTGGTGGAAAAGTCTAGAAGAATGGTGAGGATTCCACCAACATACAAGATTAGTGTAGATAATTCTAGCTTAGGAAGGTAGTGGAATTATCTAGATATCTCTAGCATGATGTTTTCATGCTTCTCCAAGGTTCCATCCATGCCTATAAAAGGAGAAGGCATCCACACCATTTGAGAACTGGATTTGGTTTCACATCGAACTTCAAGTTGCCGCACACGCAGAGAGATCTCACCGGCTACCTTGTATCCGAAACACCAGGGCATGCAGTGGCATCCTGGTTCAAGCACATCATCAAATTTCCCAAAATGCACCCTCACGGCAACTTTTGACTGCTTCACTTGAACACAACCAAGTGCTTGACCCATTCTTCAGTTCTTAAACTAGTAACAAAAGTTGTATATGAATCAATAAGGCATAGATCTAAAGAAAAGAAATCAGTTGAACTCCAGTTGTCCAGTTGTATTGTTTTCTCGGCACCCAAACAGAAAATAAAACGAAAGAGTACGAAACGAACTCATATTTTCTGAGCAACCAAACGAGAGACATAGTTGTACGGAATTTACCTTTTAAAGCTAAAACTGCTGCTGGTTCTTGTAAAATTGTTTGTGAATGATTTCTTGTAATCCAAGCCAAAATTTGTGAGATATAAAAGGATTACCAAAGCTGATCAGTTGGTAAATGACCAGTTTGCCCTTGGATTCGACCCTTCTATGATCAAAAAGTCAAAATTATCCTCTTCCATTTCGCTTTCGTGATAGTATTAAAGGAAAAAGCATAATTTGGTCATTTACATTAATTAATTTTTTTACTTGCAATTTTTCATGTGACTTTGTATAATGTCATTAAGTTCCTTTAAATGTGTTGTAATTTTTTACTTACCAAGTGATAAGGCTTCCATAGAGTTGTGGTCAACTATTTACCTTAGGAGAAAATTTTGTCATGTCACGTGATCATAATATATGCATTATTGTATATAACTTACAGACTCAAATGCTTACGTCGTAAATTTGTCATACAATTTGATTATATTGGCGCACTAGGGTTGAACACTCTTCATGACCAGCGCTTCTTTCTCTCATCTAAACTCAAAAATCTTCACATTTCCTACCTCCAAACGTAACATAATCAATCCAATTAATAAATCTCAACACAACCTATAAAATTCGGCGAAAATGTTGTTGATTATTTACTAGATTGGCAGGTATTTAGCTGATTTATTAGGAAAAAGTTCTTTGTTGCTTTCGATTTTGGATTCGAAACTTAGTTTATACCTGCGGAGAATATAGTTGCTGCATTTCAAGGAAGTGTAAACAGTTTCAACCCATATATTGCAATGCTGTTGATCCAAAGGACTTCGTTTTTTTACATCTGATGTCTGAAAACAGATAAGATTTAAGAGAATTAACATAATAATTAGCATTTGACACACCAACTATTAAAACTTTAGAACTGGTAGAGTTGATAATTAGTCTTCGATGAATAATTTAAGCAGTCAAGCATTGCAGATATATTTGTCCCTTTGAAGCTTTTATCCCCTCTTTAGCATAATCTCTGTAAAGCAGTCGAGCACGCTGTCCTTCAGCCCTCCAATAATGGCCTGGCTCTGGCGCGCTATGCCGAGCCCTACCAAGTGCCTGGACTCTGCCTCTCCTTCCGCTCGCTTGATCTTCAGGATTTTCTCTTCTTCCCCCTTCTCTTCCGCCACCAGTCTCTTCCTTGCAGCTGTTGTGTCAGAAAGAAAAATAACAGATAGAATAAGCAATTAATCACAAACTGAAATTTTCAAAACAAGTGAGTGACATTTGTTTTGTGAAATTTACCTGCATTGATCTCATGCATCGCATTCATCACTACAATATGTGGTGCAATATCCACAATCAGGGTCTGGACTATTTCAAAACCATAATCATACATAGCCTGTAACGAAAATGTCAAAAAAAAATAAAAAGGGTTAAATTTTTTATCGGTTCTCAGCGAAAGTTATGCAAGATATAACCCTTCTAATTAGTTTAGTTCATATGATACTGTCACCTTTGCAAGTTCCTTTTGAACAGCTTTTGCTATGTCACTTTTCTGCTCAAAGACGGTATCAAGCTCCAATTTCGGCACATTTTCCCTAATAACTGAAGAGTACCAAAATATTAGCTTCCAATCTATACAAGCAACAATCTCTATCAATCACTTTCTGCAAGTCTTACCATCAAACACATAAGCCCGAATCTGTGAGTCGGCATTCAAGAGCTTGTAGAAAGCATCCGGTATCTTGTCTGGAAAGGGGCGATAGTGAATCGATGCAACCACTTTCACAAACATATTATCCTGAAAAAAAGCAATTAACTCACATGGCAAAAAAAATTTCGGAGATAATACCACTTATTATAGCCTGACACAAAAACTATGGATTTCACAACAGATCATTCAGGGAATGTGCGTGAAACAAAGAAAGACTACAGAAGCTGAAAACCTTGGTCTTGCTTTCGCAATGAACTTGAAGTTGTCGCACGCACAGTGAGAGCTCACCAGCTACCTTGTACCCAAAACACCAGGGCATGCAATGCAATCCTGGTTCAAGCACACCATCAAACTTCCCAAATTGTTCCCTCACAGCAACATTTGACTGCTTCACTTGAACACAACCGAGTGATTGACCCATTTTTCAGTACACAAATCCTGAATTTTTCCAAAATTATAAATACAAGAATGAGATCACAACAAAATATGAAGCATTAAAGCACAGATCTAACATTTGAATTGTATTTATGTATAAAGAAAAAAGAGCATAATGCCTAAGAGTTCATACATAACCCTTTTTGGCTTTCTTTGTTTTCTCGGCACCCAAACCGAAAATAAAGCGAAAGAGTATGAAACAGACTCACATTTTCTGAGCAACCAAACAAGGGACAGAGTTTTAAGGCCTTTACCTTGTAAAGTTGAAACTGCTGCTGATTCTTGTAAAGTTATTGTTTGTGATAAATTTCTTGTATCCAAGCCAAATTTGCTGAGATATAAAGAGCTAGCAGCGCAGAGCTCAGTGGGTAAATGACCAGTTTTCCCTTGTATAGTATCCTTATCTGATTAAAAAGTCAAAAAAATCACTTAGTCTGCTTCATTTTGCTTTCATGTTAGTATAAAAAGGAAGAGTACAATTTTTGTCCATTTCGTTAATTTGGTTTCCTTTACAATGTGATGAGAGAAATGGATACACAATTATATACAACAAGTAGACTTGAAGGTGATCTCCACGAACAACAATAAGAGATTGTTGGCAAGCAGGTTAATGGATATGAAATACTTGAAGGTGAGAGATGAAGTCAAGAAGGGAACTAGTGATATTCAGCACATAGGCATATATCTTATGGTAGTTGATCCCACATGACAAAGGCTCTACTAGTGGGAGATTTCAAGAAGCACATTTTCAATATGGGTGTTAGAGAAACTTTTGATTCAGTTAATGAGTGCAAGTAAGCACTCAGTTCACTGGAACAACCATGTTCAAGTTTGCTTGCTTTATCAGTCAACGTTTGAATTATTTTGGTACTATCAATTTATAGGTTTGATTCAATAACCACTCATATTTCATTTTAACAAATTTTTGTACAGATGACAATCTCAGTTTTTTTATGGTGAGCTGGCATGTTGCTTACTAACTCTTGATATCATGACTTTGATAGTAACATAGTGCTTTAAGTTGGATGTGGATGCAATCCTAGAGTGCCCCGATGTGTTCTTTGTTTTCTGCTGCATTCGATTCAAAGTGACACGTTGCTAGACAAGTTAATCGCAAAATATTGATGACTCGATGATCCCCATGAGTTCTCATTATATTAGGACATCTTCATTGACATTCAAGTGCGAGAATGTAAAGTTCTAGTGAATGACAATGAGTGATGAATTGAATTACTTAGATTACAAGCAACTCATTATACGGATTGCTTGAGATACAAGTGATCTAGAAATCTTGATTCATGAGAATCATGGAGTCTTAACTCTATGCAACTAACTTATAGGAATCCTTATTAAGATTCAATGCAAAGATATTGAATCATGATAGGACTCAATTATAGTTAAAGTTGATAGGGTTGTACACAGCTGTTAATAGGTCGGCGGTGTAGGAACCCTAGCTGTATACATACATACATACATACCTACACTTATATATATATATATATATATATATATTTGAGGTTTAGTCCCTGCTAGCTTCCACTTGTTGAACTCCTTAAAATCATTGAAACCTATTCATACAGTAAAGGAATTATTGAGTACTGGAAGTAGAAAACGATCTCGTGCCTACATCAATGGCGTCCCACACAGGTAGGTTCTCTTGGACAAACTCTGGTTGCCATCACATACTTGTTGCTTAGATTGTCTAGGTTGCATTGTAACCCTAGTACAAGGTTGATGTAATGTAATCTATTAATTTATACACCTTAGATGATGTTTTTTTCTTTTCTTTTTTCCTTGAAAGCGTAGATGCATATGTTTCTATATTTAGTAATCCAAGACGCATTTTTTTATTTTCTTAGATATTTGATGCATACATGTTGCAATGTTTTTCTTTTTTTTTTCTATGTTCAACTCATTGGTTTCAGGTTCAAATTCCTCGTAAGTTAAAGTAGTAATATTGTAAGTTACCTTTATTAATTTGGAAAAGTTGATGCAATTTATGGTATGTTTACGTAGAGGTAATCAGCCTACATCCTCGTAGATGAAGTTTTGTTGGTTAATTTCCTCTGCAACAACTTTTTATGAGATTATGGCTTGGATTCTTTATGTAACGAAATCAATCAATTAGAATATAAGTCATGGTTCTTCTTCGTTCAAACTTTCGTGTTTTAACACAAAATTTGCAATGCTATTGTTGCAAAATCACTTAATTTTTCCATCTAATTTCTGCAAACAGATAATTTTTGAGAAAATAAACACAATAAATCGCACACGGTCACCAACTTATGAGATGCTACGATGCATGGACACAGTGGTTTACCCCCGTATCCCATATCTAACACGTGGGGATACATGGGATACGTGTATCTGATTGTCGGGATGCAGTACTTTCCAAATACTTTGACACTAAATTCAGAGGATAATCACAAAAAAAAAAATAATAATAATAAATAAATAAATAATCATAGATAATGGCACTAAATCTGAAGAGAATCGCGATGATTTAATCGTGATAATTGACCAAAAAATTGATCCTTGTATAAAATTTGGATCTACCTTTTTTTCTTCACTCGAACCTCAGAAATCAGACTGCCGCTGGGAGACCTTCACCTTTGACCATCGACTGCAACTGCAGCTGGTACCGAGAGCTGGGTAACTGATGCTTTTCTTCCTGTGCTTTCCTGATGCTTTCCTTACGTTATACAAATTATATATGATATAAATTCATGCTTTCTATGCTTTCCACATGCTCCCTTCCTTTTGTTCTCTAAGTTATAATTTCAATGCTTTTTTTTATGCTTTTATATATATTATATTATACATGTTAGTGGCTTAGTATAATATAAATTATAGGAAGCTGAAAAACCTAGGGAAGCTGAAAACCAAAGGATTTCACAACAGATCATTCAGGGAATGTGAAATAAAGGAAGCCTAGGGAAGCTGAAAACCTTGGTCTTGGTTTCGCATTGAACTTTAAGTTGTCGCACGGCACGCGCAGTGAGAGCTCACCACCTACCTTGTACCCGAAACACGATACGCATGCAACGGCATCCTGGTTCAAGCACACCATCAAACTTCCCAAATTGTACCCTCACAGCAACTTTTGACTGCTTCACTTTAACACAGCCATGTGCTTGACCCATTTTTCAGTACAGAGATCCTGAATTTTTCCAAAATTATAAATACAAGACTGAGATCACAACAAAATATGAAGCATTAAAGCACAGATCTAACATTCGAATGATGAAAACAATATCCATGCATAAAAGAAATAAGAGCATAACGCCTAAGAGTTCATATATACATAACCCTTTTTGGCTTTCTTTGTTTTCTCGGTACCCAGACAGAAAATAAAGCGAAGGAGTATGAAACGGACTCACATTTTCTGAGCAATTAAACAAACGACAGAGTTGTACGGCCATTACCTAGTAACACTAGTAAAAAAAACCCCTTGTGCGATGAAACGCACATCGTCATGCATAATCACTTTGTGCGATGAAATTTTAAACTTCGTCGCGTAAGTACAAGACAATTTTGTGCAATGAAACAAACATCATTGCTCAAAATGACTTTGCGCAACGAAATTTTGAACTTTGTCGCGCAAAGTCTTAACAAAAATAAAAACATATTTTTTAAAAACCTTTGCGCAACGAAATCCAAATATTTTTTCGCCTAAACCAATTTATTTAATTTATTTATTTAATTTTATATTATAAGTTTTAAAATATAGTTATTTTCATAAGTTTTTATTATTTTTTTAAAACTTTGCGCGATGAATAACAATATTTCGTCGCCTAAACCCTATTTACTTGTTTTTTATTTAATTTTATATTGTTAAACTAAATTATTTTTTTTGTGAGACGAATCACTTGGTCATCTAAACCCTATTTATTTTAATTTATTTATATTTTAAATTGTAAAATAAAATTATTTTCTTTTTTATTATTTATAAAAAAAAAATTTAAATTTCGTCGCGCAAAATCCTAAAATTTGGGTGAGCGCCAAAAATGGGATGTGGGAATTTTTTTTAAGACTTTGCGAGTGACGAATCCTTCGTTGCACAAAACTTTGCACGACCAACACTTAGTCGCACAAAACCCTAAAAATTTGGGTGGGCGCCAAAAATGGGGCACGAGAATTTTTTTTTAAGACTTTACGTGACCAATATTTTGTCACGCAAAGTGATACGGTTTTTAAAACCAAAATAACTACTCCACAATTTTCTCAATGTCTTTCTCTATTCTCTTACCTCTCATCTCTTTCCCTCTCCCTAAATTCGACCCTCTCTCTCACACTCACTCCTCTCACTTAATCTCTCTTCTCTATCTCTCACTCTCACTCACTCTCTCTTCTCTATCTCTCACTCTCACTCTCTCTCATCTCTCTCTCTCTCACTATCTCTTATAACTCTCTCATACTCACTCATTTCTCTCATTCTCACTCACTCTCAATCTTGCCAAAAAGGTATTTTCTCCCCAAATTTTTTCTTTCATTAATATGTGTTTTTGGAGTTAATTAATTGGGTTTGGTGTGGGGTGGAGTTTGGGGTATGCCAATTTTAGGGGAGATTATGCCCATTTTTTGGTATTATTTTATGTTGTTTTTTTGTTATTTGACCATGTTTGTTTTGTTTGTAGGGAATCGTCGAGACTTTGACGGCGAAAGTTGAGGACTAAGACGTTATCGGACCGTATCCCCTTGCCACTACCACCACATTAGACTTGTATTAGGATTTTATTATTGTACTTTGTTAATTTATGTGTACATTTTTAATATAATATATATTATGGATAATTTGATCACTATTTTTCATATGTAATTTTATTTTGAATATGGTCAATTTAAATTAAAGTAATTAAAAAAATAAAGATACAATTAAATTAAATTAAAAAAGTAAAAATGCAAAAAATCTTGCGCTACCAAATATTTCGTCGCACAAACAATTACTATAATTAAATTAAAATAAGAGAAATAATAAAACAAAAATAAAATACCTTGCACAACAAAATATTTCGTCTTTCAAACAATTAATTTCATCGCGTAAAATTTTAATTTAATTTAATTTAATTAAATAAAAAATAAAAAACCAAAAACTTTACGCGATGAAATATTTTGACCCGCAAAGGCAAATATTTATTTTCGTCATGCAATCGCAACGAGCTTTGCGCGACAAAATCAGACTTTACACAACAAATCTTATTTCGTCAAGCAAAGTGTTTTTTGTAGTAGTATATATAAAATTGAAATTTTTGCTTGTTCTTGTAAAATTAATAATTATTGTTTGTGATAATTTTCTTGTAATCCAATCCAAATTTGCTGAGATATAAAGAGGTAGCACGGCAGAGCTCAGTGGGTAAAATGACCAGTTTACCTTTGTATTATCCTTATCTGATCAAAAAGTTAAAAAAAAGTTAAAATAAAAAAGAACAACCCATAGTCTGATTCATTTCGCTTTCATGTTAGTACAAAAAGTAAAATTTTTGCCTCTCCATTTGTGTAAGTTAACTTATGCTGTCTTTTCCAAGCTTGGATAAAGGAAGTGGGAGAGGGTGTCAGGTAGTCGACAGTTGATACTTAATTTTTCATGTCGAATCCCTACAATTCATTAGTTCAATTTCCTTGACTTGCAATCTTATTTATGATAAAGGCATTCATTAAAGTTGTATTCCAACTATTTGTCATGCGAGAAAATTTATGTTACCACGCTATGAGAGAAAATGACATATAGTTATATACAACAAGTAGACTTGAGCACTCACTCTACTATACGTTTGTCATACGATTTGAGCATATTCAAGACACTTCCCAGATGGGTTGTGATTTTCACACACCCTTAACTACTTTTCCCACACTCCTCCATATTTTTTAATACTTAATTTGTATCCTACTATTTAATCTTCCATATATACCCCTCCCTATTTCATCTTTCATTAATTACCATCAAAAAGTAGGAAGGGTATATATAGATGATTAAATAGTAGGATACCAATTAAGTACTAAAAAATAGGAAAGGATGTGGGAAAAATAGTTAAGGGTGTGTGAAAATCACAACCCTTCCAGATTAGAGAATTCAAACCCTAAGGTTGATATGCTTCTTTTTTCTTTCATTTCCTTAAAAGGGTAGATGCATATATTTCTATACTTAGTAATCTAGCTAAGACGTATTTTCGATTTTCCTAGATATATATTTGATGCATACAACATGTTGTAATGTTTTTTTTTCTCTTCAAATTTACTGTGTTCCAAATTCAAATTCCTAGTAATTTAGAGTAGTAATATTGCAACCAAATTTTTATTAATTTGGGAAGTTGATAAAACAGACAAAGGAGATGAAGTGTCATCTGTCGACCTGAAAATGAGAATTTTTTTATTTGTGTTTATGTAAACGCAATAAAAATTTCTTTTTGTTTCGTCTTTTAAATTTTGATAGAGTTATGTCGGCTAGAACATCCTCGTTGATGAAGTTTCGTTGATTAATTTCTGCAAGCAAACAGATAATATTTAAGAAAATAAACATAATAAACTGCACAGTCGCCAACTTATAATATGTAAGTACTGGACAGAGTTGATAACTTGTTCTTCATACGAATAATTTAAGCAGACCCTCCCTAATAATATGTAACCATTGCAGATAATTATTTCCTTAGGAGCTTTTTCCTCTCTCTCTCTCTCTCTCTCTCTCTCTCTCTCTCTCTCTCTATGCCTTAGCATAATCAGCTTGAGGGAGACCCTCTCGAATCTGCGAAGCAACATCCTTGATCGCACCTGGCCCGTGCGGGATGAAAACAGATGCTGACTTTGAGGATGCTCCAATCTCCTTCATGGTGTCGAAGTATTGAGTCACCAAAACTATGTTCATGACATCCTTCGCCGTTGATCCGGGAACATTTTCGGAGAAGACAAGCACACTGTCTCTCACCAAAATGGACTCACATTTTCTGAGCAACCAAACGGCAGACAGAGTTATACGGACTTTACCTTTTAAAGCTAAAACTGCTGCTGGTTCTTGTAAAATTGTTTGTGAATTATTTCTTGTAATCCAAGCCAAAATTGCTGAGACATAAAGAGTAGCAGAGCGGATCAGTTGTTAAATGACCAGTTTTCCCTTGCAGTCGACCCTTCTATGATGAAAATGGCACAATTACCCTCTGTTTCATTTCTCTTTCATGTTAGCATAAAGGAAAAAGTATAGTTTCTCCATTTACATTCTTGCAATATTTCTTGTGACTCTGTATAATGTCAATAAGTTCCTTTAAGTGCCTTTTAATTTTTTTACTCACCAGGGTTTAGGGAGTTTTTCGGCGCACTAGGGTTGAACACTCTGTGTGACCAGATCTTCTCTCTCTTCCAAACTCGAAAATCTTCACCTTTTCCGACCTCCAAATGTTACATAATCAATCCAATCAATAAATTTCAATGCAACCTATAAAATTCTTCCGCTAATGTTGTTGTTGATTTACTAGATCGGCAGGTATTTAGCTGACATTAGGAAAATTTTCTTGTTGCTTTCGATTTCGGATACTAAACTTCCGTTTTACTTGTCTTGTTTTTGTTTCTTAGGTCATACCTGCAGAGAATGTAGTTGCTGCATTTCAAGGAAGTGTAAAAACAGTTTAACACATATATTGCATTGCTGTTGATGCAAAAGGACTCAGTTTTTTTACACCTGATGTCTGAAAACAGAGAAGATTTAAGAGAATTAACATAATAATTATCATTTGTCACACCAACTATTAAAACTTAAGAACTTGATAGAGTTGATACTTGGTAACTAGTTTTCGATGAATAAATTCTGCAGTCAAGCGTTGCAGATATATTTGTTCGTTTGGAGCTTCTATCCCCTCCTTAGTATAATCTGTGTAAAGCAGTCAAGCACGGTGTCCCTCAGCCCGTCAACAATGGCCTGGCCCTGGCGCGCTATGCCAAGTCCTACGAAGTACTTGGACTCGGCCTCTCCTTCCGCTTGCTTGATCTTCAGCATTTTCTCTTCTTCCGCCTTCTCTTTCGCCACCAGCCTCTTCCTTTTAGCTGTTGTGTCAGAAAGAAAAATAACACATAGAACAAGCAATTAATCACAAACTGAAATTTTCGGAACAAAGTGTGTGGACATTTTTTTTGTGAAATTTACCTGCACTGATCTCATTCATCGCTTTTATCACTACAACATGTGGTACAATGTCCACAATCAGGGTCTCGACTATTTCAAAACCGTACTCATACATAACCTGTAACGAAAATGTCAAGAAAATTTACACCAAGATATAACCTTTCTAACTAATACGATATTTACTGTCACCTTTGCAAGTTCCTTTTGAACAGCTTTTGCTATGTCACTTTTCTGCTCAAAGACGGTATCAAGCTCCAATTTTGGCACAGTTTCCCTAATAACTGAAGATACCGAAATATTACTTCTAATCTATAAACCAACAATCTCTATCAATCACTTTCTGTAAGTCTTACCATCAAACACATAAGCCAGAATCTGCGAGTCAGCATTCAAGAGCTTGTAGAAAGCATCCGGTATCTTGTCTGGCAAGGGGCGATAGTGAATCGATGCAACCACATTCAGAAACATATTATCCTGAAACAAACCAATTATGTCACATGGTGAAATTTTTGTCGGAGATAATATATCACATAGTATAATCTGACACAAAAACTATGGATTTCACAACAGATCATTCAGCTGAAAACCTTGGTCTTGGTTTCGCATTGAACTTTAAGTTGTCGCATGCGCAGTGAGAGCACACCGGCTACCTTGTATCCGAAACACCAGGGCATGCAATGGCATCCTGGTTCAAGCACACCATCAAACTTCCCAAATTGTTCCCTGACAGCAACTTTTGACTGCTTCACTTGAACACAACCAAGTGCTTGACCCATTTTTCTGTACAAAGATCCTGAATTTTTCCAAAATTATAAATACAAGACTCAGATCACAACAAAATATGAAGCATTAAGCACAGATCTAATATTTGAATAATAAAAGCAATATTCATTTATAAAAGAAAAAAGAGCAAAATGCCCAAGAGCTCATACATAACCCTTTTTGCTTTCTTTGTTTTCTCGGCACCCAAACAGAAAATAAAGTGAAAGAGTAGGAAACAAACTCACATTTTCTTAGCAACCAAACAAGAGACAAAGTTGTACGGAAATTACCTTGTAAAGTTGAAACTGCTGCTGGTTCTTGCAATGTGATAAATTTCTTGTAGTCCAAGCCAAATTTGCTGAGAAATAAAGAGTAGAGCAGAGCTCAGTGGCTAAATGACCAATTTGCCCTCGTATATATCCTTATCTGATCAAAAAGTCAACAAAAGAAAAAAAAAAATCCCTTAGTCGTTTCATTTCGCTTTCATGTTAGTATAAAAAGAAAAATTGAATTATTTGTATCCGTTTTTATTTTTTTTTTGCACCAATTGAGTCCCTAAGCGTGTTCGTTTTATATGGTAGATCTGATAAAAATAGTGTTTAAAATAATGACATTGTTTTATTTTAAACATTGATTAAATTTACATACCTTTGATTATTTTAAACACTGATTAAATTTACATACCTATCAAAGAGTGGCGTAAAATCCAAATACAAACAATAAATAATTATAAAAGAAAGTACCCCTAATGAACGTGAAGGGTAAAATAGATATAAAAATTATTTGAACCATAACTCCCACCTGACTCACCTTAGACTTTAGGAAAGTTTGCTTACGTGGTATGCTGGTTAAAGGGCTTAATTTCAAAATTTGAAAATTTTGGGGTTTCACTAAAATATGCTATAGATATTAGGTTAAAATCAACTTTCCTCTTTGTTTTACCACATGAAGAAAGAAGCGATTCTAAGCCAACAAGGTTCTATGCTTTGCGAGGGTAAAGGGGAATGTATGTCGTACGTAGCCTTATCCTTGTTTTATAAAAAGGTTGTTTCCACATAAGAGATGAATAACTAAAAATTATATACAACAAGTAGACTTGAACACTCACCCACTGTAAGTTTGTCATACGATTTGAGCATATCCTTGAAAGGGTAGAATTCAAACCCTAAGGTTGATATTTGATGCATAAAAAATGTTGCGATGTGTTTTTTTTTTTTTTTCTTTTCTTACGAGCAATGTTACTACTTTAAATTACGGTAAGAGGTAGATGAGGTCTTACACTCAACATTACTACTTAATAAGAACATAATGTCAACGTTTTTTTTTTTTTTTTTTTTTTTGGCATTCGAACTTTCATGTATGAACACAAAAATTGCGATGTTTTTTATGCAAAATCGCTTAATTTTTCCATTTAATTTCTGCAGACAGATAATAGTTAGGAAAATAAACATAATAAATCGCACTCAGTCGCCAACTTATGATATGTAAGTACTGGGTAAAGTACACAACTTGTTCTTCATATGAATAATTTAAGCACACCTTCCATAATAATATGCAAGCATTGCAGATAATTTATTTCCCAAGGAGTTTTTTCCTCTCTCACTCTCTATGCCTTGGCATGATCAGCTTGAAGGAGACCCTCTCGAATCTGCGAAGCAACGTCCTTGATCGCGCCTGGCCCGTGCGGGATGAAAACAGACGATGACTTTGAGGATGCTCCAATCTCCTTCATGGTGTCGAAGTATTGAGTCACCAAAACCATGTCCATGACATCCTTGGCTGTTGTTCCGGGAACATTCTCGGAGAAAACAAGCACGCTGTCCCTCAGCCCGTCAACAATGGCCTGGCGCTGGCGCGCTATGCCAAGCCCTGCCAAGAACTTGGCTTCCGCCTCTCCTTCCGCTCGCTTGATCTGTAGGATTTTCTCCGCTTCAGCCTTTTCTTTCGCGGCCAACCTCTGCCTTGCAGCTGTTACGTTGACAGAGCAAAACTTATATACAAACTGAGCAACAAACAAATCACAAATTGAACTTTTGGAACAACATGCGTGACATTTTTGGTGTGAAAGTTACCTGCATTGATCTCATTCATCGCTCTCTTCACATGAACATCCGGCTCAATATCCACAATAAGGGTCTCTACTATTTCGAAACCATAAGCAGACATCGCCTGTAACGAAAAATGGTTACAATTTCGATCAGTTCTCAACGAGTGTTACACAAAAAAATTGTTTCACCTTTGCAAGCTCCTCCTCAACAGATTTCGCTATGTCACTCTTCTGCTCAAAGACGGCATCAACCTCCAATTTCGGCACACTTGCCCTAATAACTGTTCTCAACGAATGTTACGCAAAGAATGGCAACGAGTTAGCTGTTGATCAACTAGTACAAGCAAGAATTCTACCAATCGCATTCTAGTCTTACCATCAAATACAAAGGCCTGAATCTGTGAGTTGGCGTTCGAGAGCTTGTAGAAAGCATCCGGTATCTTGTCTGGCAAGGCGCGATATTGAATCGACGCAACCACATTCACAAACACATTATCCTGAAAAGACCAAATATGTCACATAGCAAGAATTTTTTTCTCCCTTTTTCTCCGACATATATCACATGCTATAAATTCTGACATAAACATTATGCATTTCACTACAGATCGTTCAGGGAATGTAAAGTAAGGACTCAATTCAGAAGGCGAAAACCTTGGTTTTGGTTTCACATCGAACTTCAAGTTGCCGCACACGCAGAGAGAGCTCACCGGCTACCTTGTACCCGAAACACCAGGGCATGCAGTGGCATCCTGGTTTAAGAACATCATCAAATTTCCCAAATTGCTCCCTGACAGCAACTTTTGACTGCTTCACTTGAACACAACCAAGTGCTTGACCCATTCTTCAGTTCTTAAACTAGTAACATAAATTGTATGAGATCACAACAAAATATGAATCAATAAAGCATAAATCTACGAAAAGAAATTCAGTTGAAGTTCAGTTTTATTGTTTTCTCAGCACCCAAACAGAAAATAAAGCGAAGAGTACGAAACGAACTCACATTTTCTGAGCAACCAAACGAGAGACAGAGATGTAAAGTTGTTAGTGAATTATTTCTTGTAATCCAAGCCAAAATTGCTGAGATATAAAGAGCAAAGCTCATTGGCTAAATGACCAATTTGCTCTTGTACAGTACCCTTTTATGATTAAAAAGTCAAAACTACCCTTATTCTGTTTCATTTCGCTTTCACTAATTTGAAAAGAAGTCTATAATTTGTCCATTTTCATTAATTGAGTTTCCTTTACTTGCAAATTTTCATGTGACTCTGGATAATGTCATTAAGTTCCTTTAAATGCCTTTTAATTTTTCTACTTACCAGTTCTAATTGTGATAATCCTTTCAATAGAGTTGCAGTACGAGAAAAATTATCTTACCACATGATAAAAGAAATAGATGCAAGATTTTATACAATTTGTAGATGCTTAAACTGCCCCCGGTTCATTCATGTGTATGCATTGCTTATTTTTCGATAACGACTTCAATGATTTTTCATTGCTTGTAAAAAAGCGCATAATTTGATGAAACTGTTGGATTTGAAGAGGAAATCTAGAACCTTGAAGGAGACCCTTTTGAGCAAGAAGCCGAAGGATTGCCTAAAAGGGTTAAAATTCTGTACTCTGGAAATTTTGAGGAGCGCCGGCGTAAATAAAATATGCAGTGACGTAGTGAGTGACATGATCATTACACTTAATTTCCACCAAACGTGAAAATAACAGTAAAAACCTCGAAACGATAAAGTAAATGAACAAATTAAAGGATTTACATACCTCAAGAACTTTATCTTTTTATTATTTATAAAAAAAAACAAATTAGTCAGACCAAATCATCATGTACTATTCATTTTAACGAAAAATTATATTTTTATTCTAAAAAATCACTTCTAGTAGTATTCACTTACAACATATTTTTATCATTTTGATTAAAACTTAAAGTTTTCAAATTATTTTCGTTAGTTTTCCTATAATTAAAAGGAAAAAAACGAATATGAAAATTAAAAAAAGAAATTAAAAAAACTAAAACAACTACAATTTAATCCACCGATCAATAATTTTAGATTTAAAATAAATTTCCATAGAAGTAATCTTTGACGAAAGAGTTAGTTGCAGGACTTGTCACACCAAGTGTCTAATTGCAGTCAAACATAGAGGATAAGATCACGAGAGTAAAAAGATTTTTTAGTTTGTACCATATATGACAGATCAATCTGAAGCTGGTACAATATGAGAGTCAAGTCTAACATAATCATACACAAAAACTACTGTCATCATTCTTTTGAGTTAGGTTTTGGCGATTTTGAAGGATAATATGGAGAAGAAGGTGGACCATTCGGGCTCGACAAGCTCCTTACGGGCTGTCCGTTTCTCGGCATGAATACCGCCTGCGTTCTGATGCCGTTCTTAGAACTTGAGAGGGACCTGGAACGAGCTTCTTGCATGGTTTGGAATTGGTAGGAAGAACTGGCCATGTCCTTGAGGTTTTGTAGAGGCTTTAGGACTTCAACAACTTCACTCATCATTGGCCTAGCTTTTGGGTCACGGCTGAGGCAGTGGGCGGCAAGCTGGACTGCTTTTTGTGCACCTTTAATTGAAAAATGACCTTCAAGACGGGGGTCAATTAACTGGAATAACCTCTTCTTGTCGCCAAAGCGTTGCCTCGCCCACTCCACAAGATTGTGCTCCCCATTTGGTCTATTTTTGTCCATGGATCTTCTGCCATTGATCATTTCGAGCAGAACTACTCCAAAACTATAGACATCGCTCTTTGATGTCAAATGTCCTAAACCAAAAAGCCATGTTAGGACTTTGTAATTCTAGCTCAAGATTGGCCTAGGTATGCAATTATTTATCAGAAGCCAAAGCCTGATAAAATGCTAAGTACTGATGTTTTAACCCATCTCTTTGCACATTCGATGGAGTTGCAACTTTATAGAACTACCAAAACTATTAAATGCCAAAGATGATTATTATCAGACTCACCGGTCATCACATACTCTGGGGCTGCATAACCATATGTTCCCATGACTCGTGTGGACACATGAGTTTTATCACCCTCAGGGCCATCTTTCGCAAGTCCGAAATCCGAAAGCTTGGCATTATAATCCTAAAATAACACATTCCATTTTCAGACGAGAATAGTAGTAGGAAAATAAATGAATTTGATGCTCAGTTACTGTCACTTACTGCATCTAATAGGATATTAGATGTTTTGAAGTCGCGGTATATGACCGGTTTTTGAACTTCTTCATGAAGAAAGGCAAGACCCTTTGCAGCACCGAGTGCAATTTTCATTCTAATAGACCACGGAAGAGGCAGGGACCCTGGTTGTTACCAAATATCATTAGGCAACCACTAACAATACAAAACAACGCAAACTCAACAGCTAGTTTCAGTAAACATGCAATATCAAAGAATGTGAAAGGACCAGTTGCTTACTTCTGAAGAGGTGGTTTTCCAAACTTCCCCTAGGCAAAAACTCATAGACCAACAACCTCTGATCATCTTCAATCGAGTAACCAATCAACTTTACCAAATTAGGATGGATGAGATCACCAAGAAAATAAATTTCAGCCTGAAAATAATGAAAAAAAACAAAGAAGATTTAGATACAAATTGAACCAAAAAGGAGACTCGCATGTAATCCAAGAGGTCAAGTTAAAAACAGTTATAATCGTAAGTTGAGGGATAGCGAAGCCATACAAGCCATTCTTTGTGACCCTGAAGTCCATCGTGGTTGAGAGTCTTAACTGCAACCGTAAGCCCGGTACCAGGTTTAACAGGGGCAGTTCCATTCTCCTCGACCCAACCTTTAAATACACAACCAAATCCACCCTCACCAAGAAGACTCTCAGGTCTGAAGTTCCTCGTCGCTAACTTAAGTTCGTTAAATGTGAATTTCCGGAGCTGCGAAGCAACCTTCAGTTCCTCACTAAAATAGGGCGTGGACGTAGAACTGCCAGCATTACTAGTAGTGGTGGATGACCCTCCACGAGTAATTTCTCGATCTCTACTTTTCTCATTCGAAGATTTAGTTTCTGCTGGTTACACAAAGTCCAACATACTTGAATCAACTAAGATGTTGCTATTGTTGGAAACGTATAATAAATGCCCGACACTAAAATTGCAATTGTACGTCTAATAAACCGGAAGTCAATTTCAAACTATTAGACTCAATGAATGCAAACACCTCAACCATATATAATAAGGTCCAATCCCCTCTTATCTCCGTAAATTAGAGTAGTTTAGAATATCGTCTTTCAAATCATTCGTCTTCTCAATATTTACACAGTATTCATCACCTAAACAAAATTAAACACTTTCCTAAACTCATACGATGTTACATGCCTATTTACTTAATTTAGCAGAGCAAATAGATTAATCATCCAAAAAGGGGAAAAAGGGCAACCGAAAAACACAATCCCCACCTCAAAATTTAATGCTTCTCAACAAGAAATTGCCAAAAAAGGAAAGGGTAGTGAACAAATTACCATAAGAAACACTAGTTCCAGTGATGGAGCTATTAACTTTGGATCTCGAAGGCATGCAGGTCCCAAACCTGAGCTTAACCCAACACCCAGGTTCCTCCACCGTCTTATCTTTCTTCTTCCTACCCTTCGATTTGCTACTTTTACCCCAACTCTCCACCTTGCTAGGATTAAGCACCAAACCCATCTCCTCAGAGTTCAAACTCTCTCTAGATTCAGATTCTCATGGCTCAGAGGACCAGAAATTTCATATCCCACAAAAATCCATTCGAACCCACCAATCTGAAAACCAAAAACGACCCAAAAATTTACAAAATCTATGAAATTTTTAACTTTCACAAATAAATGTGACTCGAAGCAAAGAAAGAAGAGTGGTTCAGAACCACAGAAAATCCACTGCAACCCAAAACCAACCCAGAAACACTACAAAATCTATGAAATTTTCACAAGAACTGCCACTTGAAGCAAAGATCGAGCAGTCTTATGCTCGATAACTGAAATTGAATCCGACCCAGTTGGTCAAAAAGGCCAGACAGACAGAGACATAGTGGAGAGAGAGGGAGAGGGGGACAGAAGGCTGTGCTGCTTAAAGAAAGAGGGAAAGTTTTTCAGAAATGGTGGGGGCAGTTCGGGCGGGGTTTGAAACAGAGGAGACGGGCAGGTCGGGCATGAGAGAGAGACGAGGAAGAGAAAGCAGAATGCTTTCGCACCGCTCCACAACACTAGTTTTGGCATATTCCCAACATCAAATCAAAAGCGCAACTCCGTTGTCCAGATTTTTTAAAGTGCTAGTAACGTAAAATGATATCTCAAATGTTATAATATAAGCACTTGTATGTTTGAAAATAAAATTCAACCATTTGTATATTGATATTTGTATATTGAAGTGTATTTTAACATATTGAAAAATTTCTTCTTGTTATTATGTGACTGTTATAAAAATTAATGTAAATATATGTATTTGCTATCATTATTATCTGATCGTCAAAATAGTGAGTGCGTTATTGTATCCAATTTCAAAAGGCATACTTGCTAATGCTACTTTGAGATTTAATTTTATAATTTTTTGCGTAATTATTTCTGCTTTTTATACTTTTTTGTGTTTGGGAATCATGAACATTTATTTGGACATGTGGGAAAATCAGAGTGCAGATTTATGCAATAATGCAACAAGATAGAGTCGTATAATTTTTTAAAATTTATTTTTCTTTGTTTGGTTTTAATATTGGTGAAGTGTGGTTTACACAAGAAGTTGTGCAATATAATATTGTGTTAGTATATGATATGAATTATTATGAAATTAATTGTTGCCAAGTGGATATCAAATCAAATGTCTAACTAATCTTATTTAATCAACTCAAATAATAGAAGAATTAATCATCATACTCATGCATAGTGCATTAGGTAGGTCAGTCTGTCATCACGGTGTTAAATTAGTTCATTCAGTATTTTTGTCTCTTTTCACCCGAGTTTAATTCCTCTTTTCGACGACTTCTCCATGATATTATGGAAATGATTATTCCAGTTCTTCGCCCGATCTTCTTTGTAAAGATTCTGAAAATTCATGAATTATATTCGTTCATTATCCATTGTGCGATCATAAATTATTTTAAATATTTTTATTTAAAATTAAATACAAATAGTACTTGATAAAAATTAATCATACGATGAATGGACACAATCCACAAATTTCCAAAATCCTCACCAAAAGAATCTGAAGAATATCATGTTGGATTGTATCCATCTTAGTTCCACTCTTCAACTACTAATCACCTCCTCGAACTTCTCATTTTTCGTAACAAAGGAATCAGTTTGTGGCTTTGTTATGACAATCGACCTTTTCAACAGCGGATAAAACTCATTAAGGCATTTCAACCTCCACCTAATTACCATCGTGTGTTTTCTTTAGTGCTAAAAATAAACTTAGAATGCGCCATATGATATACGGACCTAAAATTTGTCCAACCACTGAGCCACTCCATGATGGTTCACCTCCTCAAATTTAAAATCATTAACATTTTTTTCCTTTTTTAATTATATCAAAGTATACTTTATATGCCAATTAATTCTTGTAATATGTTCAAGAGTGTTTTTTTAATCAATTGATATTTGATATTCTAATTACTTTAGTCTAAAGTAGGAGGGGAAATTGGCACTATTCATGTGAACAGTGTTTTGGACCACATTTTAATTTATTTACAATATTGCCACTTGGATGCTTTTAACCCACTTTCACTTAATTTACAAAATTGTCACTCAGGCTTAAAAACCTTCTTTCAGCCGTTGGTTGCATTTCATGTTTGACTCGGCAAGAAAGAAGGGAGGGGGACATCATGCCTGACAAATTAGAGAGAGACAATCGCTCCCATTTTTTACTCGAAGACAGCTGGGTGTACCTCTGGCGAGCGGAGAGAGGGGGACAAAGCGACCACAGAGGAGGGAGACACAGGGCCTGACAAATTGGAGAGAGATGGGAGCTACGGGTTTGGACTGAGTGAGAGAGAGATTTAGGTAGGTGCTCTACCAGGATCTATGGGATTTTCTCCCATTTTAGAGAGATAGATGGGTAGGGAGAGAGATACAGAGCGGAAAACATGGGTGTGTGTATTCTTTAGGGTTAACGGGTTATGCGTAGAGACGGTGAGGAGGGGATGAGTGAGGGACGAATGGCAGTTTTCAATTTTCTCCCTTGATTCAAAAGGTAATGCACTGCTTTTTTTTCATTGTTTAGTGTCTAATTGCCATTTGCTTTGTTAAAATTTCCATTTATATTTTGTTCTTTCATTCAAACTGTAATGGATGTTTATAAATTGTTGAGTTGGGTGCTAGGATTATGTCTCTATTTTTGTGAATTAGGGTCTTCCGCTGCTTTAGGGGGGGTGTCTTCAATTAGCATTTTTAGAGAGTTTTAGGGAATTTAAATCTATAGAATTTGAGAAAGTTTGAGAGAAAAAAAAAATGAATTCCTAGAGATTTTGAGTGAATTAATTATAACTTCCAGAGAACTCACATGAATTGTGAGAGAATTCTTTACATAGGGTTAGAGAATTGCAGAGAATTTGATCAACAATTTCCTTCTCTTTACAAGCCAAAATTTTCATCCTACTAATACCTAATTGCAATACCAAGTTCATATGCAATGTTTTCAACTTGCTATCAAAGTGAAAGAGGAACCCGATCGATTAGTGTCAAAACATAACTACTCAAAGCAAAAAGATTTATCCAGCGTTCAACCATGTTGATATCCAATTGTCCTTAAAGCTTAAGTTGATTGGAAACAAATGCAACAATGCATGAAGAATAACAGACTGACAAGTCTATATAGATATACAACCTTAACCCAAGTTGGCCTACTTCCACATTAGTTGTCACCGTGCCATGTAATTTCATACACACATTAAGCAACTTACGTCTTGCGAAGTCCGAGGTTATATCGCTGCTCTCCAGGTGTTTGTACGGAAGAAGCAATGGATTTAAATTGCATACTCCAATCCGTAAAAACAATTAATTCTCTATTTCTCATCTTTGAATGCTATCACTCACAGCATCTGTCCACATATTTGTAGCTATGTCAGCTCTCCATGCATTAGCAATCTGTCGTTGTTGCTCTTGAGTTTGATTACCTAGTTCATCATCATTTTCTTCATCTTCAGATTCATCATCTTCTGGTTCAATTGGAAATTCATCAGAACGACACTTCTTGCGAAGAAAGTTGTGCAACCCTGCATAAGCTAACACTAACTATGCTTGTGTTTTAATTGGAAATGGAGGTGCATACTTAAAAATTGTGAATCGAGATTTAAATACACCAAATATCATCTCCACTACGTTTCTCAAGAAAACATGTCGAAGATTGAACAACTCATTCGCATTTACGGGGTCACGATCGTTACCAGCAAAATCTTGGAGATGATGTCGAACACCTCGAAACAGAGCTAAAAATTGATGACAATTTGCAAATCCACAATCCACTAGAAAAAATTTACCTAAAATTAAAACACATAAAGTTATTATTTATGGTACATCCTAGTGTAAATAAATAAATAAATGAATGAATACACACCTTCTGGCACTTTAAGTTTGTTCCTCCTTGATACAACATCATGTAATAGTTTGGAGTCATAAGCTGAACTCTCCCATCCGCTAAGAATATATATGAATTCCAAATCAAAGTTATAAGCAGCTAATACATTTTGTGATATTTTACCATGATGATAACGATAGCTAGCTACTTCGGGTCCCGATACCATTGCTGGTATATGTGTTCCATCAATAGCTCCAACACAATCCTACAATAATTATAAGAATTAATACATAGCTACTAATATGCTTATGAAACCAGTTTAATCAGGACATGGTTAAGATAAGTACTAATTACTAGCCTTAAAATAAGGGTAAAATCTTGTACTTTCTTTTATTTTAGTTGGCACCATGGATTCAGGTTGGACCATCAAATTTGGTGCAATTATGTTCAAGGCCTTCAAAATGTTTTTGAAATTTTTTCTTGTTGTAAATTTGACCGCCGAAATGTGTCCCGAATTTGACAATATCAAGAATTTTGACTAATAGTGAGTAAAAATGTAGCAACCATTTCTTCAATACAAATAAATCTTGTACCCTTCAAATGCGTCTTTTCCATAAGGACATCACATAGCTTTAAGAAAACATCCGGATACATCCTATATAGCACTCGAAATTCTTGAGGATCCTCATTCAATACCTTGTTAATATAATCGTATCCAGTTCTACTAATAGGTCGTCAAGCCAATGGACGTTCAATATGATCATCATGTATAATAACCATTAACGCATTTAGCACTTGAACTATTGCTTGTACTGCCATCAATAGTACAAACAAAAGCCAGAATCTCTGCAATTCTCATATTGAACTATAAACCAACAATCTCTATTAATCACATACGCATTTAGCTAGTTGAAAACATTGGATATAAACTTGGTATTGCGATTTGGTATTAGTAGGATGAAAATTTTGGCTTGTAAAGAGAAGGAAATTGTTGATCAAATTCTCTGCAATTCTCTAACCCCATGTAAAGAATTATTTCACAATTCATGTGAATTCTCTGGAAGTTATAATTAATTCACTCAAAATCTCTGGGAATTCATTTTTTTTTTTTCCTCTCAAACTCTCTCAAATTCTATGGATTTAAATTCCCTGAAACTCTCTAAAAATCCTAATTGAATACACCCCCGAAGTAGATGAAGAACAACAGGACTGCCGCTGCATACAGGCTTACAATATTCGAAACAATGGGAAGAAGTTGCAGAGGAAGAAAGATTGTACCTTCGCAAAGAATTCGAAACGATGGGAAACCCAAATCGCAGAAAGAGAGGGCGTCGGACGAAGAACAGAGAAGACGCTCTCTGGAGGAGAGAGCAGCACGCTCAAAATCTCTCAAACGTTCTTTTTCCATTTCACATCATTCGAATATCTCTATGTTGCTAGGTTGTTTTTCCATTTCTTGGTTGCTTCTGTATTTGTGTGATGCACTTTTTAATTTTATTTTTCATATGCATGTAGATCCAACACAAGCATACATATCAAACCATTCATTCACACAACAGCCACCAAATCAACCATTACTGAGGTATTTGTCTATCCATTTTAAAATTTTGTTAAGTTTTGTTAACTTTTATACAAACTAAATTATAATACAAATCTCTATACTGTGTTTGAAACTTTCTAACAACCAATATGTACAGTAGGTTTAGATGTCTATTTGTTGTTTTAAGAAATGATATTTTTTTTTTTCATTTAACTCGACTTACTATGCATCACAGACTATTACATCACCACAATGGATCTCTTTGTTCCATCCTTTCTCCATGTTTCTGCTACAAAGTTTTTTGACTTAGTCAATTTAGAAAGTTGGAGGGTTGTACACCTCATGTGCTTTGTGCTAATTTTAGTTATCATCCGTTTTTCTTATTCTGACAACCTTATTTTGAATGTATTGTATACTTATTTGATTTGTACCTTTTGTGTGGTATGTTGTGTATTGTTAGTGTATACGGTTTGTCTTAATGAATAAGTACATGGTTTGTGTGTACAGTTGAGAATTTGGATTAATTATATGATTATTTAAATTATCCTTAATTGCTTGGGGCTTGTGGGGTGGGAGGGGGGAAGCAGCAGAGAGAAGTAGGACAGAAGGGGGTGGAAGACAAAGGAAAAAAAAAGGAGAAGAGAAACAGGCTGTGTTCTTTTGCTTGGATTTTTGTTTGGATTTGTGGAATCACCATTAATGAATCAGGTATATATATATATATATTATGCAGGAATGTCCATAAAAGCAACAATAACCAATTTGTCAATTATTGCTTCCTGCTTCGATTATCTGTGATTTTATTATTTTTATTTTATAACACCATGCATCCCTCATAACTTTTCTCCAACCTACCTGACCCAATGCCAAATAATGTTTTGCATATGTTTTCAATGATGTAATGTGGCCATTCAAATGATCTTAGAATGAGAAAGTGGTCAATTGTGTTTCCGAAGTTCTGTGTCATGAAAGATAATCCTAAGATTCGACAATTTTTAAACATTTTTACATTTATTTGGTAAAGAGATGAATCCAACTTCAATCTTAGCTTTTTCATTATTTATTACGCTGCTTTTCTATTTCCAAGTTCTTATTTGTTTTACTTAGCTTTAATTTCATTTGATTAGCTTTAATTAGATTAGATTTAGAGTATGTCTATGCTTTGAAGCTCTGACATTTCCAGGCTGTGATTTGGTTTATGGTTTTGTGCTTGCCTTTGCTTCTGTGCATAAAGAAATTTAAGTGTTTTTCTCAATTTGTTTTGTTCTGTGCATTCAATTTAATTATTTTTGTCAATTTCTTTTCGTAATTTGATTTTCTTAGTTTGGGTGATTTGAACACCTAAATTATGTTCTGTTTTATATCATGTTGATTCAAAGAATGGCCCTTTCTCCTGCCAATCATTTGAACCTGAATGATTAAAAACAGTTCACATTGGCTTCCATTTCCAGCCTGTTATTTGGTTTAAGGTTTTTTAAATTTCCTTTGCTTCTGTGCATTTCAATTTCAATGTTTTTGTCAATTTAACCCAGTGCTTGCTAAATCTATTTCAAGGGTGGAAGTACAGCTAAAACCCTCAGAGTTTTAGTTACTTATACTATTTCCCCATACTTTCCAGATTTCGTTTTGGATCTTAATAATAGCTGCTATATTGCTTGAAATTGTCAATGATTTCAGTTCTTCGTTTTATTTTCTTTTTGGAACTCATGAGTGTGCAGTTTGATCACTGAGTTTGACAAACAAATATATAGAACTTTTCAAATAGACTTTAAATTTATCTCATAGATTTTATCCTTTTCTTTTTCTGATTGTTGTTGCCATGCTGAGAAAAAAATTATATTAATGGCTGTTCATTTGCCTCTATAGTATTTCATAGTTATTCTGATCTCCACTGGTTCTCTAAATGGTGTGGTTTTTCAATCAATTAACAGTTTTTAAAAATTCAAACAACATTATAGTTGTAAGCGTAATCATTTGATTAGTCTACCTTATAGCATAATTCCTGGACACCAAGGATCTAACCATGTACAAGGCCCAACTATATAGTTTGTTTCTATTTGCACCTGGTAGGCTTTCATTTCAGTATAGCCCTTCATTTCATTTCAAATAGGTTAGGCTTATTTTTCACCATTTGCTATCTTCTGATCATTGATAGTTTAATAGCACTTGGGAATTCAGCGCAAATAAATTATCTACTCTATTTATTTCTACTGAGCAATATATCTTTGCCGAGTAATATAGTTGCTCGTTTCTCTGTTTCGATTATTTTATTTGATAAGATCTCATAAGTTGCCTATGTTTAAAGCTACTTCATTTGATTGGTGTTTTGGTTTGTGTGGTTTACCCAGAAGGAATCTAACACTGTAAGAAGCTGAATTCTGGTGGAAATTGGACAACTTTGTGGGGATTTCAAGGTCTTTCTGAGAGGTGAATGTTTTGGAAGGTAATATTTTGTGTGTGTTTATATATTCTCATTGCCATGTAATATTTTGTGTTTAATACTTTTGATTCTCCTTTAGTTTTTAGTTGATTCTTACCCACTATCACTATGCCCCAGACTTAAAATGCCTAAAATCAAGTCAAAACTTACGAAAACTCACATATATCACTATCTTTTTTGCTATGTTAATACCAATATGTGAGTATTTAACAAATACCTTCCTCGCTGCCAGTTTTGATTGTTGTTCACTTTTTGCACCCGTGCACACCTAAAGTCCCATAAGATTAAAATTTAAATATCTTAACCAAGGCATCCAAGGTATGATCGGTGCATAACTCAAGATTTAAAATCATAAATAAGGGAGAGCGGGAGAAAGGAGAGGTTGTATATCAAGTTGAAAAGGGTCGACAAAATAGAATGCAGTAGTTACCAAGGTTGTGGCATGAGTAAACTTAAAGCCAAATTTATTACCATCGAAGTTTAGTAAATAAACATGCTCATAAAAGGATCAGTCCATTACCAAATATATATCTTAAGCATCAAAATTTAGGAAGACTGATGCTTGCTTTTTACCTCTTGAAGCATTGACTTCAGGTGCTTCCACCTTTAGGGCTTGGGTTAGCAATGAAATAGATGAATAATAGCTTGAGTAATTACAAGAGGTAATGTTAGTGGTTAAGACGGTTTAACATGCAAAAACTTCCAGTCTTTACAAACGTGAGATTTTTCAGTAGGTGTGTTTTGTAATTCATCATATTTGTAAATTTCCTTTTTCTTTTTTTTTTTTTTTTGTTGGGTCTGTCTTTGGTCATTTAGCTAAAATTTCTTTAGATTTGCTCTTTAAATTTGAAAGTCTCTAAGTTGCTAACAGATCTACAATGTTTGCAGATTTTATAAATTTGGATCATTCAAGGAAGAAGTTGGTTCCATGCTGTTTTGAGGTATATAATTATACGCCATCATTTTTGTTCAAAGTCTATTTAGCTATCTACCTTTTTTTATTTATATTTGTGAAGCTCTGATGCTTATATTGGAACTGAGTTTCTTTCTATTTAATGTGCGTATTTGTATCTGTTCATTAATGTCAAGGCTGAGATAACTAAGCATCCATTGAAGTTTAACGAATGCTTATATATACATATAAGATCTGAAAGGGATGGAATTGTTTTCTTATTTAGTAACCGCCGTATATATATATATATGTGTGTGTGTGTGTGTGTGTGTGTGTGTGTGTGTGTGTGTGTATGTATGTATGTATATTCCAATAAACTTGCTTATATCTTTGGAAATATGTACGTACCAACTGTCAGAGCATGTATATACCGGTATCTAAGTTGAGCACAACAATGACACCCCATTCTATTCAATCTCAGTTATTGATACAACGTTTGATGATCTATTTTATCTATTTTCTCTATTGCGATTTTGTCTCCATGAGCCTCGCACTCATGTGCACTTGCACATAGTTTGCAAGTCATGTCTCAACCTTAGTTTCTCTTGCCTTAATGGCTTAGTTTGAACTAAGGCAGTATCAGTGAAGTCATTACCTGTGGCTCTCTGATGCTCTAATAGGTCACCGTCAGCAATGGCAAGAACAAGGTTAAAATAACCAAGAATCAACTCATCCGGTAGATCTATCACTTGGCCATAATCCAGCAAGGCAACCTAACTTGGAAGAAAGGGAACGGGTAAGGGAGGTATGAGTATGCTTTTTTACGGCCCGTTTCTAGGGACGTGGCCTGGTGTCGATGCCTTCACAGGGTGTGCGATTCCAAAACACATTTAACAGCTTTATCCAAATGGTCATTGAGAACATCATCAAGTATAAATGACTGGTCGTCAACTGCCAGTGAAATCTCATCACTGAAATTGGATAGAATAATTTAAAACCCATGGTGGGTTAGAGCATTGCCACACACCAAGCAAAGATGTCTCAATATGATTCGTTAGTTAGTTTTGATTACCAAATTCCAATTTCTTTGCTTTGTTTGGAAATTTGTGCGTTTATCTTTGGTCAAATGTAGGGGACGATGTGAAAATTGATGTTCTGAGACTTATCGTTTGTTTGATGCATTTTCACAGGTTGAGTCCATTATACCAGATTTGAGTTATAGCTTTGTACCCAACTTTTAGTCCCTGTTGTCACAGCTAGCATCACTAGAAAATAAAATTTGATTTGAACCTAGGAGATACGAAACTAATCAGTAGTTAAGGATGCAAATTCACCACTGTATAAAACGAGATACAACAAGTTTTGTTACATTGATATATTATTAAATGGTCTTTGCCACATTCATGGTGTATATTTCACTTATCGCTGTTAGGCTAAATGGGCATGGATGCTGATACCTTAGTTTTTAGTGGTAGCTTGGCGGCTTCTGTGCTGATGTAACAATCTAGGTGGTCTTCAAGGCCTACCATTTCCTTATATCTCTTGATTAACATTAAAATTTGGATGGGGGAAAAAGGTTTGTGGTTAGATCGGTATTTGTTAACCCATGGTGCTCAACCACATAAGTTAGACCTTTTAGTTGCTTTCTTTTGCTCTAATCCTGTCAATTTTTTGGCTAACATGTTCACTTAATTAAAGGTTTATATTTCCCACTAGCAACTGATAAAAAGTATAGAGTTTGGTTGTGTAAATGTGTATAGTTTTATACATTTCGCTCGGTTGACAATTTAATAATGGCTGAAGTGCATTCTTTAATCAAATGTGTTTTCTTTCCTCGATCGTAAATGTCTTTTTGGTATTTTGCAGATCAAAACAAAGTGAAAGCTTTTGACTGTGAATTTTGCAACCGCTACCTTGCTACTTTGGTAAAGTCTCAACTTCTTGATAATATCAATTAATTTTGGCTGTAATGTTAGGGTATTGAGTTGAATGCATGCATATGCTACACGGCATAGGTCTAACATGATTAGAACTTTAATATCATGATGTGTGATGCTAATTAAGCACAATATGAGTATCTGTACAAAGAAAGACATGCGCATCTAACGGATCTACTTTCTTTGCAATTTCAATTTGGAAATTGAATTTATTTACAAAATTACGATCCTTTTTAAAATTTAGAAAAGAGGATGTTAAAAAACCAATTTTCTTTATAAGAACTTGAATACAAAGTAGACCATCAGTAAAAACAAACCAACAACGATTATGGTAATTTAGTAATTTAAACATAAACCAGCTTTGAGAGTCATACTCACCCATTATCGGTTTTCCTTGCGAGCATATTTCCTACCCAAAGTTTCCCAAACTGTGTTCTCAAACTACTGCATCGGCATATCTTTCCAACTTCTAATAGTGTTTGGTCCCCATACTTTCCACAATTCGTTTTGGATCTTAATAATAGCTGCTATATTGCTTGGAATTATCAATGATTCCAGTTTTTTGTTTTCTTTTCTTTTTCGAAAGCATGAATGTGAAGTTTGATCACTGAGTTGCCAAACAAATATATTGAACTTTTCAAATAGACTTTAAATTTATCCCATAGATTTTCTACTTTTCTTTTTCTGATCGTTGTTGCCATGCTGAGAAAAAAATTATATTAATGGCTGTTCATTTACCTCTGTAGTATTTCGTACTTATTCTGCTCTCCACTGGTTCTTTAAATGGTGTAGTTTTTCAATCAGTTAACAGTTTTTAAAAATTCAAACAACACTATAGTTCTAAGTGTAATCATTTGATTAGTCTGCCTTTTAGCATATTTCCTAGAGACCAAGGATCTAACCATGCAAGAGGCCCAACTATTTAATTTATTTCTATTTGCACCTGGTAAGCTTTCATTTCAGTATAGCCTTTCACTAGAAAAAATGCCCGCGCAATGCTGCGGGACTTGAATACATCACCTTGAACTATATTGTACAATTAACAGGACGAAACAGAACGTTTTGGTTCCCTAATAAATAGAAGAAATAGAAGTAACATATAGTTTACAGAAATGTTGCCCTTGTAGTCAAGGTGATAAAATATACATCTTCTAGGTTGGCTACACGTTGTAGTTGACAAAAAACATAAAAACTATTTTGTTCTTATTCTAGCATCTAAGTTTCCAAGCACGAATGTGTGATAAACACGCAGTTGTTGAAGCAAAAATGTTGATAGCCAAAAATATGTAGAATTGCCTGCAGTAGTCAATTATGGAGATTGCATTGTTCACTTTTTTTTAGAGTGGATATCTTCCGCACTACAGCAAAAAATATAAATCATAGTTTAAGAAACAGTGACCATAATGTTTTTCATGTAGGCGTGCATATGAAAGAAACGAAAAAGAACAAAATCACCCATATATATAATACTTTAAGTTTAAATGCATCCCAATTGTGGTTCCAACATCACAGAAAGAATGTCTTATACATAATTAACAGTACACCCGGCATCGGTTCATCCTTTCGTATTAATAGTTATTGTTTGCAGAAACCTCAATTACCTTACAATCTATCATCATTGACATATAGTTCATACAAAATGGGACATCATAACCTGTCTTTGGCCAACAACAGTTTTTCCAAAATGAAATCAACTATTACTGCATTAATTATGGGTCCATCTAGGCAATTCATTGAATTCACAGACCCGAAAATTTCCCCAATTCGCTGAATTTACATACAAATGAGACAAACAATAAAACATACCATAATTTTGATGATAATCATATTAATCATCCTTAATAGTATAAATAATTCAACAATGTGAAAAATATGGGTCATGTATAATAGAACAATCAAAGTTCTCTATTTTGATCAGAAAAATAATGGTCAAAATTTCAAAGAGAGAGCCTTTTATAGTAAATTTTATATCCAGAAACTCAAAACCAAACATGTTCAATTAGCAAGAAATTCTCTACATGATACTCGAACCAAAACCGATGCATTTTAGTTATATGTATCATAAATAGAAACGATGGCATCCAAATTCCATTAGTTTAATATTTAGAAACACTTGGTCATTAAGTATATATACTTGCCAAAACTCATTCAGACAATATCAATTTATGAATTACACGTGCAGTCAAATTGATTATGCGTCCTTACCCTTTCCTTACCCCTACGCTTTAACCCTTGCATAAAATCCTCCCTTCTCTCGCTCACCTTTGTTCTATCTCTCTGTGTGTGTAAATCGCAAAAAACAAACCCTGAACTAAAACCCTCAAATCCCGGCTAAATTCTTGCACAATTTGGTATGAGATTCTTTATTTCTCTTTGCAATTCCTAAACCAAATGTTGTAAATTTTATCTGAAAGAGACCCATCTTTCTACAAATGGCACAAAGAAAATGGTTTCGAGAAATTATGCCAAAGGGGAGACTAATCAGATGATTCTGCTTAGAACTATAATGTTGTTTCAATTTAAAAAAAAAAAGTGTTAACTGATTGAAAAACCAAACCATTTAAAGAACCAGTAGAGATCACAGTAACAACATTGTAATAAAACTAAGATCTAAAAAAGCATGTATTCAAAAGTAAATTAGTTCGTCATGCATAAAGCAAGGCAGTGACGGAACATTAGCAGCTAAGGTAATCCACCATATTAAGGCATCATACATATTATTATACTTTGTTTGTCAGCATGGGAACATGTGTTAGAAAAAGAAAAGGAAAAATGTATAGGGTAAATTTAAAGGCTATTTGAAAAGTTTAATATGTTTGTCTGTGAAACTCAGTGATAAAACTTCACAGTCATGCTTTCCAAGAAGAAAAGAAAGCGAATAACTGAAACCACTGATAATTCGAAGTAACAGAGCAGATATTATTAAGATTGAAAACGCCTTCCAGAAAGCATGGGGAAACTGTAAAAGTAACAAAAACTGTGATGGTGGAATGGATTAAATCCATGAAAGTGCAACAAAGAAAGGGTAAATCTGAGAAGGGTTTAACTGACGACCAGTCTTTTATACTTGACAATGCTATGAATTATCAGCCGGATAAAGCTGTTAAAATATGTTTTGGAATCGGTCGTCGCACAACATGTTTATTTACGCTGTTCTTGTTTAACTGCAAACAATTGCGTTTTATTATTATGTTTCAGTTTAGGTTTGATGGCATGAATATTTGTTATATCACACTAACTTAAGACGTAACAATCACACATTGTACTGTTATTGCAGTCATATATATTCAGATTCTACTGTTATCGCGGTCATATATATATATATATATATGAAAAGGACGCTATAATTAGATAGCTAAATCTAATCCTAATGTGAAAAAAAAAAAAAATGTAAGAACTGTTATGAAACCAGTGTTAATTAATATACCTCAAAAGTCAAAGGGCCAAGTGCTCCATTGATCGATCCAACTTTCTGAAAATCGGAAACAAAGCAAATCGATTAGCACTAACTCACAGAACAACAATGAAAATAACAGCTCAGAGACAGTAGCGAAATTCTATTAGCAGTAAACACACACTGTTGAAACAGGGATTGTAGCAAAGCTATACCAATTAGCAATATAATATAGGCATTAGTTGCAGGTTCTGCAAGTATTATCTGTAGAATTTAGCAGGTTAGTTATATACTTTATCTGAGATAGTAATGCAAATATCATACCGAAGAAACATATATCATCCAGTATTTCTCATCTAAAATTTTTCGATCCAAAAAAGACAATAAGGAAAATTACGCAACTCCAGAGTACAAATGTTAAGCGTGCTACTTCAACCGAAATAACTTCTAAATACAATGAGAAACACATGCTCATTCTAGAAATGGAATCCAGGTAAAACCAAAATACATAAAAACTGCAATAGTTAAACTACAAGCTAAATTGATTAAGTGTCCAGAAGATAAACACACCAATTTTCAAACAAAGCAAAGAAATTGAAATTGTCTCATGAAAACTAACTAAAAGTTTATGTAACGTCATTGTATTATTATCTAAGAGGCGAGATAGAATGTTAATACGGCATGACACAAAAGCAATGCAATATCTACATGTTTAGGTAACACCATCCTATTCATGCTTAACAACTGGAAATGCACAATCTAGTTTACAAAAGTAGGGGTTAGAGTATGAAAACCAACTAAACAGACCATGAAAATAACTAAAAGGTGGTATTTGCCAAGGCGTCTAAACTTCTATATATATATGTTTGTGATGTAAAACTAATTTCATCAGGGTTGTAGTTGAACTGAACTAACAAACTTGTGAGCTACTTAAATATTCACACACATTATACTCATAGACACTGCACTCACACACACTGATTATAAGAAATGAAAATGAAAAAACAAATGAAAGCTAACATATGTCTTGGCCAACATATTTATAAGATATGGATGCCAATCCAATGGATGCCAACCAGTAAATAGTTAGGAATTTACCTAAAGACTCTTTAGCCACAAAAATCCCATTAAAGAATCTCAACATGTTCCCAAAACATTAAAATAGTAATGCAGCTCAATATTTTCCCCAAACCCTAAAACCCACAGAGCATATGCCCTACTCAACAAAGATAATTAAGAACAACAATTGCAGGATCAATAAGGACTCTGTGAACTGCAAGGATTAAGAGTGCAGGAAAAACATTACTACTGGTAACTTAACAGAGAGAAGAACCTGCTATTAGGTTTTCTCAAAAGCGAAAATTGCAGAAAGCAACCAAGAGACACAAAAAATTTAGCTAAAGAATGTTAGCCACCAAAATCTCATTAAAGAATCTCAAAATTTTTTCTAAACATTAAAATACCAAAGCAGCTCAAAATTTTCCCCAAACCCTAAAAGCTAAAACCCACAGAACATAGCCTCTACTCAACAAAGATAACTTAAGAACAATTGCAGGATCAATAAGAACTCTGTGAACTGCAAGGATTAAGTGTGCAGGAAAAACTATAATCTAGATAAACAAAAGAAAATATGTATTAAAGAGCACCAAAAAGTCAAAAACTTTAAAGGCTGTCAAATAAATTTGTATTCAAGGGCTTGAACCCATCGATCTAAGTGCAAACATAAAAAGCACAGAACATAGAAAAATAAGTTGAGAGATAGTTTAGAACATTGCAATTGAGGCTCCTCTCAGTAAATAATATATATATATATATTTTTTTTTTTTAAAAAGAACACATGTATACCCTGCCCCGTAAGAAGCATGTTAAGCAAATACCCATCTTATCAATGGTTCAGAATCATAGTTTGACCACATATGCCAAACTATAAATCTAAACCATTGATAAGGTAAACTTTTGCGAGAATGTGTGGTCCATATGCACTGTCTGGCAACATAACCACCTATGTTGCCAGAATGTGTAGCAATAGGGCATTACGCTACATATTCAAAAGTTGAGAAATCATGGGAGAAGGAACGACTCAGAACTTGGAAGTAAAATATGAAAATCACAATCAAAACACAAATTAATACATGTTATTTCAAATTTTCACAAACAACACAACAGATAAGGAAGAGTAAAGAAAATTAGAGAGAAATTCAAACAGAGCAAGGAAAACTAACTATGCATACCATAATCACCAATAATATACCACAAAAGATATATACATTTGGTGACGATCATACATTTGATTCCTACAATATTTAATGTCTTGCATAAAAATTAGAAATTAAAAATAAAAAAAAAACACAACAAAGAAAAGGGTACCTAATACTTTCCGTGCAGCTGCTCTTCAAAAGGAAAAATGCTTTAGATCCTAAGGACAAAGCAAATATAAAAGCGATTCAACAATTATCAAAGAAAATTAACAATGCATGGAACAAAAATTAGAAATTAAACACCCATCAAAGGTTGTGAAGAATGCTAAATCCAACTAATTCGAAACATAAAGTAAGCCGAAAGTAATAAAACTTATAAATTCTATATAAATTATAATCCTTTGGAGAAAATCTCCAATATCCATTATCCAGTTAATTGTATTAAAAAACCTAGCAAATCTCCATTAAATTAAACACATTTTGCAGTAAAGTATCCATCTTTTCAGAGTAAAGCAATACAAAGATCATGAGCAAGTAAATCTGGAACACTACCATCAAAATTCCAGCAATCAATAACCATAATTATAAATTTTGTCAAACTTAGTTGCTACAGCGTTTGACAATGATCAGGCAAAAACTGAATATTTCGTGGAGCCGCAAATGTTCTATTAGAAAAAATGAATAATCGAATTAGTTGAGTAAATTTACGGAACAAAAAGAGAAAAGGGGAATGGAGGAGATCAGCAGAAGGAGACGAAATCAGATTTAGAGTTTGAGAGTCAATTGCTGAATTTAGATGAACTGACCTTTTTTATGACAGACAGTCAAACTGGAATGCACAGGAAGAAGCGGAAGAAGGAAAAGATGATGGTTCTCAGATACATCAGCACTCCCTGCAAAACCCCAAAAGCAGAAGATTATAAAAAGAACCCAAAATCAGTGGCATGGTCCTCGTTTCTCCATTAATCAGTAGCTAATGACCTAACGAAAAAGAACCCAAAACAAACTGCTTAAATTATGGAAAGTGCTTATAAAGCTTATGAATAACTTTCAGAGCCTGCATAGAAATGGTATAACACAGATAACAACAGACAATAAAACTATGCACAATATAAGCTAAATCCGATATGTTACATTCCACACACACATAGATACGTCGAAAACTTGAAATTATTATAGAGTAAAGACAACTATATTATACAATCAACTTTGAAGTGTTATCCATTGGTAAATTTTCAGTATTAATTCTATTGGATTGTTCATAAGAAATGAAGAATCCAAAACTACATCAATTCTTAGTTCAAAGTTCAAACCAGCAGCTACTGTCATCCATATGAAATTAAGAATGCAAAATTGCATGAATTATTTCATTTTCTGAGCAACCAAACAGGGGATAACACAAATTGCAAGGTAAGAAAGAAAGATGGAAACCTGGAGGGACCCAAAAGGAGCAATTAAATAGCAGTACATAATGACGGAATTTCAATGAAAAAATATGAATAGGTGGAGGGGGTCAAATTCAATCCGTGAGAGAAAGAATTAATATGTAACACATACTTTCTTGATTAAATTTAAAAAAAAATAAAAAATAAAAACTGAGCTCTGGGAAAACCTAAACCTATACTCTTTGAACTTCAGGTCACTCAAGATGATGTTCGAAAATTTTCTTTGAAGAAAACCCAAAAGGAGCAATTAAATAGCAATACATAATGACGGAATTTCAATGAAAAAATATGAATAGGTGGAGGGGGTCAAATTCAATCCATGAGTGAAAGGGTAAGCATATACCTGCTGCTAGGAAATCCAGATTCCAGTGGTTGATACTCTTTGTTTCTCAAAAAAGTGTGTATGTTTGAGCTGCAGGGATACATCACATAGGAACAAATTAGAGGGAAAAAGAGTTTGTATTTAAACACAGTAAAGAGATTTGTATTAGAAATTACTTTGTATAAACAAAATTTAAAATGGATGGACAAATATCTCACTAATGGTTTGTTTGGTGGCTGCTGTGTGAATGGATGGTTTGATGTGTATGGTTGTGTTGGATCTACATGCATATCAAGAATCAAATCAAAAGTGTATCTCAGAAGTATAAAAGAAGCAAGAAACGGAAAAACAACCTCGCAAGTAACTAATGTCTGAAGAATGGTTTGGAAAATTGAAAACGCAACAAAGAAAGAAAACAATTGACAAAAAAACATATAAAATGGCTAACAACACTGGACTTAGGAACACCTGGTTAAAGCAAAATCACAGATGACATCAATGCACCTTTGAACAATAATAGAATGGTTGAGACTAAATTAAAACCAACAAAAACAAAGAAACCAATGAACTCATGAAGTATCAAAGGATCACAGAGATAACCGACAATGAGAAACAAAGCAGAGAGCAAACGAATGACATAAGCTGATAAAACCAAACAATCGATTGAAAAATGATAAATCTGCATTAACTCAAATGGAAAGCACGGGTAAACACTGCATCTTAGTTTAGGTGACATACCAAAGCCTTGATTCAAATGCAATAGGTCCAGACCCCTAGATCAAAGGCAGCAAGAAGAGCAGATCACGACGTTGTAATGAGACTTTGATCTAAACTAATAACAAATCAGTGAGATTGAGAGTCAGAATTCGAAGCGCAATCAAATGGACACAGGAAAAGTTACTCAATCTGCGACAGTGCAATGGACTCTACCTGTGACAGTTCAACAGACTTAATGTACAACAAATTTATATTTCACGAAAGAAAAGCTGCTAGCAACGGGAATGCATCATCTGTAACCATATTAATTTAAAGGCCTAAACCAAGCATGAGGTATCCTAGTTCGTTCTGAATTAGTACAGGGGTTAGAGTGTGAGAACGTTGGTTTTAGAAGGAATAGGTTACATAGAGCAAATAATGGTTCTGTGGAGTACACTTGGTGAAAATTATGGGGTACCAGATGATTTTAGTATTTGAAGCAAAAGCAAGGAGGGATACATCTTTTCCACCAAAAGTATATAAATGATACAATATAGGTTAGAATTGTTGGAGCAAAAGCATATGGTAATGACACACTACCAAGAGTATATAAATGATAGAATATAGGTTAGAATCGTTGGATGCTAATCTACAGTGAAGATAGCTGTTAAACATATATGGTTAGGTAAATGAAGGAAAGCATATCTACATTTCAAAATTAGCATCAATAGTGGGTGGGCTGGTTTTACACAACATAACCAAAAGAGACGGCTTATCTTGAGTATGCATACATAACATCGAAATGGACATTTTTTTTCTTTTTGGAAAAAGAAAGGGAAAATAAAAGTAAGCTCGCTAGCAAGCAACACCAAAATAGTTCCTTTTTGCTGAGAACTGAAACCTGCTTCTGTAAATATTGCTTACATAAATTTTTACATGCATTAATTACAGGTCCAGTTAGTCTTCTTATTAGGCAGTTACCAATGCATTGTACATGTAACGTTCATGGAGACAATAAATTAAGTTATAAAGAGGGTTTTTGTTGTTTTGCATTGCAGAGGTTACCACAGATGTAAAAAAAAACGAAAGAATTTTCAGCAGAGATGATGTTCATTTTTGGAAGAGGAGGGTTTAGAGTTAAAACAGAACATTTGGACTGCATTTAACAACCACCATTTATGGTGCTATAAAAATAAGTATAAACTAACCTGAAATCACAACAGAAAACAGCAAAAAAATCAACGAACGCAGAACTAAGGATTTTCAAATGGCACAACATTTAACAACCAGCATTCATGGTTCTATAAAAATGAGTATTTACTAAGTTGGAATCACTACAGAAAACCGCAAAAACAAACAGAGAAGCAGCATTTTTTCATATTTTCGAATCAATTCTAAACCCTGAAATCATTACGCCTAGACCTTTTATTTACACCTCGGTTGTTGCTGTATCCCTACATCTATGAATCCAATTTCATTCAAGAAACAATGGAGAGGAGAAAATCGAAAAAGAAGAATGTCCCCATGATTAGTTTTCTTGTTTATTCTTCACAAACTAATCACATATTCAGAATCCAAGTACAAAAGCTTTGCAAAGGTAACAAAAAGATGGTGTATAACTAATTAGGCTTTGAACATGCAATCAGTGTGCAGAATTGTATACCTAAAAATGGCAATGAAGCAGCTTCTTCCTCCCACAATCAGGGTTCCTGAAATTTCCAAAGAAAGTAAATCTGTTAGCAAATCCGAGAAATTGGAGGACCAAATCTCATTAAATTTGAGTTAAATGAGCTAACGTACACCAATTAAATGAGTTAGTAAACAGATTTGGAATCTATGAAATGTAATGGTTGAAATCCAACCAAACCTAATCCTTAAACTTGTTTTCTCGAACACCCCAAACCTAATCCTTTGAAATCCCACCCAAACCTAATCCCTGAAACCCTTTCTCTCGGACACCCCATACCACAGAAAATGCATCTGAACTTTAGTTTATAAAATCGCAGGCCGCCTTCTCTCTTCCTACCTTTTAACAATTCACCAGTAAGATTATCTCAATAAAAACTTGTATTAGCAAATCCAGTGACGAATGATGTGAAACTGAAGCTGTAATGAAAGCTTATTTTGAGAAAGAATGAAAAGTCGTCTTTCTACAACTGGAAACCAAAATTTAAGTGAATGGCCCTGTAACTAAGGTTATTGAACATGATTAACTATCCCCAATATGACAACTATCCGCAACCCTCAACCTTGTAACCTGAATCAAGCTGGTTTCACACATACCAATAGAATACCAAAATATCAATGTTTGGGGAAGTTACCTTATTTGAAATACCACTAAAAAACAGAGTATACTTTTAGGCAAATATTGTTTAAACACCCAAACATAATTCATGATATGTGCCAAAAAGAAAATACCTCTCGATTAGATTTCTTTCGTTCGTGAACTTTCTCCCTGACAAACTCCTGAGATAAAACCAAAAAAGAAAATAAGTCACAACTGATGCAAGTAGAGGGGAAGGAGGCAAAGAAAAGTAGGAATTTATGAGTACACCACTCCTGTTTTAGGTTCCCAACTTATAAGGATGCTAACTTCATCATATAGGACTACCGTTAAACGCATTTCTTTCCGAAATTAAATTAAGAAAGAAGTTCGACACTCACATGCCACAACACAATGTTACATAAAGTAACCTTACCATCACAACCAAATTGACACAAAACTTCAAACAGTCCTTTTGAAAGCGAAAGTCAAGCGATTAATCAAATACTCATTTTCCGAAAAAGAAAAAACCCAACAAAAATATATAAAAAGTAAAAGTACCTGAGTTCCCAATAGTCCAATCCATCAGAAAAATACAAACTTGCACATGTTTGAGTATAAGGACCATAAGAAAGAAGCAGGGGATGCAAAATTTTGAGAATGGGTCTAATAATACTCATCACTCCATTTATGACTTATCCTCTTATCAACTGTTGTGCACCCTAATCCAAAGAATGGAAATTTACCCGCCAAATATCAAACTGGATATCTAATAACTGGAAATTTTCCATTGCATATCTAATAAATTTCAATTACTTAATTTCTATACAACCCCAAATCCAAATACCGTCTGTTGCTCCAAATATCAATGCAAAGATACAAACTTTTTTACGCTACAACAACAACCATACAATTTTAATAAAACCCACAAAAACCAAGTAAATAAGCAGATTTTTGGCAAAAGCAATTAAAATACACTCACCAGAAGCAAAAGTGGAGGATGGGATTGAAGCCATTGCTGTGGTCCTCCTGGAGTCGCAGCTTAACATCTGACACAGCGGTGTTGGCGGAGGAAAAGGCAGCGCTCTGGACAACCTGACCTCTCTGGCGGCGGTTGTGAGGCAGTTGAAATCTATAGGCCTCGGTTTATCCATTACTGTTTTTTTTTCATTGGATCTCCCATTTGGTCTCACTGTTGTTATATTCGTTTCTGTTATTCCTTGTCAATCAGGATCTGCACCCCTGAAAACCCACAAAGACATTAGAAATGGAACCCACTGCATATCTTATGAAAATAGCGTTGAGCCTTGAGGTGTCCTCACAAACCTAAGGTATGGCGCAGTTGGAGTTTTCGACAACATGAGGAAATGTGTAACCCCCATAGGCCCAACCACATTCAAAAAGTCTCTAAGATTGTTCTGCCTCTTCTCCTGCAAAAACATTGTGGAAAAAGCTCAGCTCTTTACTTCAGATTCTTACTTCTCATTTTCATCAGCTCTTCAAATCAATTAAAATATAAACAAATCAAATATCATAAAGCATTGCAAAATATATTAAGACCGGAATGAATATTTGCATACCTTAAGCTTAAAGGCAGTGTAGGGAAGCACCAGTTTCTCAAATCAGCTTGAAGCTGCTTCAGAGGACCAGGCAACTTGCATCTGGAAAACACAAACCTCCTTGGGATTTTATCCCTTGTGATATGGTCCATATTAGCCTGCTTCTTCGTCGAAACCGACTTCACACACACATTCTTCTTCTGTTTTCAAATTTTCAGAAACACAACAATCAACCACGTCTCCGAGATAATTAACAAAACAAAACAAACAAACAAACAAACAAACAAAACCTCTTTGATTCAGTTTTCTCAACAACCAAACAGAACCTAAAAATTTCAAGCTTACATTTTTTAAGGCAGCCATGACAGCGTTTGCAATTTCAGCTCCGTAACTTTGTGATTAATACTGCAAAAAATTAAAAAAAAAAAATTAAACGCATTTAGGGTAGAGAGAGAGTGAATTTATGCCAGGGATTCGTCAGATAATTAAAACTAATTGAAAAATTAAACAAAATTACCTTTGGGCGTTTAGGGTTTTAGGGGATCTCTGTCTCTGTGTGAGGTTTTAGACGAAGGAAGGAGATGACTGAACGCGCGAGGCAAATTAGGTTTGTTTATTAGGCGCATCCGAATCGTCTAATCATACTAAGGAAATCAAGATGCATCCAGAACACATACAGTCAAACTGGAATCCGCAGGGAGAAGCGGAAGAAGAAAAAGAAGATCGAGAGGGGGTAATTGATAGCTTACACAACACTGGTCGTGGTCGGAGTTGACAGAAATCAAGGAAGCCCTGTGCGATTTCATCGTTGTGAGCTGTGAGAGAGAATACGATGGTCACATCACGATTTTATCACCAGAAGGTCGACTGTTCCAAGTTGGAAAACAGAAAAATTAAAATTCAAGAACAATAAACTAACAGAAACAAATTACAGATGAGGAAACAATCAAATTACCTCAACAAAAATCCATGATCATTCCATGAGTGCTGATTCTATGGGTTTTGAAGGGGGAAGGTTTTTTTATTTGAGATGGAGGATGTTCGATCTGGGGATTTTAGGTAAGCAGATGGGATCTGAGTGAGAGAGAGAGGGGAGGAAGAGAATGGTAAAGTGACGATCGCACCCTGCCTTTCCACGATCATCAACACGCAGGCATCATGATCAACGGCAGACAGAGTCAGTGGCAACCTCGTAAATAAAGTGAAATTCGGACCAAAACACTGTTCATATGAATAGTGCGATTTCCCCTCCTACTTTAGACTAAAGTAATTTCAGTTCAGATAGGTGAAGCAGCACTCATATGCTTTTATATATTTATTTTGCTGTATTTTCAAAATTTGTTTTTATTTTTTTGGCTTTTTTCCCATCTCAGATGTGTCTGTATATACATGCACTAATGGTTGCAACATGTTACAACGGTGTATTAAGCTTTGGTGTATTCTTAACTGATGTATCCAATTTTGTTTTCACTAATTATTATAAACACTAGGGAAATTTAAAGCCAAATATCAAAATTTAAGAATTTTAACTTGCAACCATTTTTGTTGGTTTCTGTAAAGATTCTAATGGTTTTCTGTTATAAATTTGTCTATGTTAGATTATTGTTTTTCAATTTAAATTTTACTCTTTTCCAACTTATGATGCTTCACTGAATAAATGATACAGATTTTTCTTGAAGTCATTTCGTTGTTTGTTTTCCTTTGGAGGATTGTTGTGCTTCGGTTAGTACCATTCAGTTCTCTCCATCTGTCAATCGGCACTGCTCTTAATCTAACCCTAGGCAAAATAGAGATCGTCTTTTAAAGTTAAACATGGTCCACTTTCTGCAAAAAAATATTTGGCAAAATGGTTAACCATCTGTTGGCAAAAACTAATTAGTGACATCTTGATCAACCTGCACAAATTGCTATCTGCCCACTGAGCATTATGTTTGGGGTATAGGGTGCATTTTCTATGGTATAGGGTGTCCGAGAGAAACGGTTTCAGAATTAGGTCTGTTTGGATTTCAAGGATTACGTTTGGGATTTTGTTTGTAAGATTTGCAGAGAGATAGGGGTGTTTCAGTTTTTATGTTTAATGTTCTGAGACTTACCCTTTATTTAGTTCACTTTCACAGATTGAGTCCATTATACAATCACAATTTAAGTTACTTTTAGTGTAACTGTTTCTTTGCACCTCAAATTCTTAATCTAAGTCTCACTGCTTTTTTGCAGTTTAGATCGCACTCACATCAAAGAATCATAATCTACTCTTGCTGCTGCCTTTAATCAAGGGGTTCTGAGCCATTACGTTTCAATCGAGCCTTTGGTACGTCCTGAACTTCAATACATTGTTTCCCCATGCTTACCATTTCAGACAATGCGATTTTATCATTTTTAACATGACTTTGGTTTTTTTTCGGCTTATATGATATGTTTGTTCTAAGCTTTGTTTCTCATTCTTGCTTATCTTTGAAACCTCTGATTCTCCAGAGGTCCAATGGTTCTTTCTTTTTTTTTTTGGTTTAAATTTTGTCTATGTAATTCTGTTATTGTTTGAAAGTCTCTTGGTGTCTCTGTGATTCTTATTTAACCCAGTGTTTTCAATTGTTTATCAAATGTTGTTAGGCATTTTGTTTGTTTTATGTTGGTTGCTTCCTTTCTTTTTTGCGTCCTCACTTTACCAAATCGTTCTTCGAAGGTTAGTTACTTTGGTTGGTTGGTCTTTTTGTTAGGTTTTTCTAGTAGTCAACCGTCTCATCCTTCCCGAAGTGCTTTGATAAGTGCTGTTAACAACTGCAATCTCTCAACAAACCAAACATATTTCCAAAAAAATCACAACTTCCATATTTAAAATTTTTAAATTTTTGACTGTGTTAGTCTAAGACCTAAAAGCTAAACATATTTTTCTAAAAGATAATTTGTGATTCAAGGTAGATAAAATGGTGAAAGAGATTAATCAAAGCGAACAACAAATTCTAGGAGGAGTTTTGGTTAAAAATGTAAAGGAATTGATTAAGGCTCGAAACATTAACAAGATTTGAAAAATGATACAGATATATAGAGAAATTGCCCCAGGATCCAATACAAAGAAAGAAGTCAAAATAGAAAAAACAAGGATGGGTTTGTGTGTTTATGGTAAGGGTGCAAACCGAAACAAATTGGTGGTCCACACTATCCATTCACCTGGAAATCGTAGTAATTTGCCGAAAGAACAAGTTCCGTTGAATGAAGAAGTTTAGCATGTTTTTTTGGGGGTTTTTGGTGGGATCTACAAGTTTGATTGCTGCAAAAAGATTGGAATTTTGTTGCTCTTCCTTGCCTCCACCATAACATCCTTCTGGGTTTTCAATGTATACAGACGGGACGGGTGTTACATAATAAGATAAATGCCGTGTAAACCTTTTTTGTTCGGTCATAACATCAATAATGTAAACAATTAACCCTTTTACCGTTTTAAGGATAAAGTGTTGGCGTGCTGGGATTATGTTTCTCTGCTTATATATTTTTCGCATTTCTCTTTTTGTTGATAGGATCCTTTGACTCATGTTTTTTTGTTGGTTATACACTTTTAAAACAGTTGTTGTATTAATGTTTTGATATTATTCGTGAGCGGGCCGTTCTCAAAAACAAATTGTTTCTTTCCTTATGTCGTGTGACATCCCGTCCCGGAAATATTAAAACGTACATGTGAATTGTCAACTTTGCCCCTAGTTCGTTTTTTTTTTTGACGTAATTGGTTGTTTTGTGTGTGTGGCATGTGTTGGACCACACCCACACCTGCACACACACTGTCTCACTCTCCCTCTTCCTCTGTCACTTTCCCTGTCTCTCTCTCTCTCCCCTGAGTCCTCTATTCTTCTTCTTCTTCCTGCAACGTACGGACACACACACAACTAAACCAAATCATCACAGATCGAAGAAACTAAGGCCATATTCGAGCTCGTGAAGCTCATGGGAGTGCAGCTGTACAATTTCCAGGTGAGAAACCAGTCGTTTTCACGTCGATTTCTTAAGCTCCGATTTGAGTACTGTTCATGCAAATTTAACCTAGCTAGTTTTTGGGATTTTGAAGCTTGTAGTTGTGTTTGTGAGGTTCCCAGGAGCCTCGGAGTGCTTCGTTGGACAAATTTGGACGTCGGGAAAGCTTGGTTCGAAGTTGGCCGGTTTTTGAGTTTGAAGACAGGTATGATCGCGTGGTTTTTAGCCTTTAAAAGTAGTTTATCGTGATTCTCCTAGGTCTAAGCTTCATTTTGGTTCAAGAATCATGAAAATTGGTTGAAAAACGAAGGAGAATAGTGAGTTTAAAGTTTTCCCAGTTTTCCGGTGACCGGAGTCCGGCGAGGGTAGGCCGGAGAAGAAACAGGAATATTCCGTTAATTTTAACGGAATATTCCTAACGGCAGTAACGGTATCCGGTTAAGTTTAACGGAATATTCCGGAGTTTTAACGGAATATTCCTGACGGTGTCAATTGACACCGTCAGTGTGCACGGCACGTGGCCGCGCGTGGGGGCGCGTAGGTCCGTGCCTATTTTGGCGCGTGGGGGCGCGTGAGAGGTCCAAAAATTATTTTAAAAATATGGTTGTGATCCTGAGGTTGTGTAGAGCACGTTGGTATATTCATTTGTCCATTTTGAGCAATGTATGAGAAGTTATTTTGAACGGAAGGTTGTGCTTTAAAGTTAACGTTTTTATAGTTAATTCGCATAGGTGATTCCTATCCCGAGGACGAGCGTGCACACTCGAGGCAGGGGGGCTACGACCCTTCCACATACCAGTGCGTGGGCTTTTGGTTTTCCGTATATTCCTATATACATATAATTCCCAGAAATTAGTATAAATGCTTATTCGTTATATGCCGTTTCTTTTATATAATTGGTGGTTATGCATGATTAGTTGCATCTACGTTTATTTATAAATTCAGTTATGTGTATGTATATATATTTAATGGTGCTGTGGAGGCACAGGTAAGTGCCAGGTAAGCGTTATTTCATATATGCATTCAATAGTGATTAGAGATGCTTAGAGAGCTCATAACCTGCACCCCCGGTGTTAGTGCTCCCGCCCAGAGTAGGGCACAGTCCTTCACGTGTTGTTCACCTCCCGCACCACACGCTCAGCTTGGATCCAAGTTAGGTGCACAGTCCTGTCGTACAGACCACTATAGGTGGTTCCGACTCGTAGGTGACCCGCGATTATTCGCACAGTCTTCACGTGATCGTAGCACTAGAGCGTTTATATGTATCGCACCCAGGCCTGTCGTACATACCATTATAGGTGGTTCCGACTCGTGGGCAGGTTTAGCTGTTGAAATTAAGATTTGAGCTCTAGATTCAGCCGTACAGGTCACTTTAGGTGACTCCGGCTGCCAGTGATAAGTTTTGACACGATTTATACCTGAGCACTTGCATATTATTATGAGGTTTTGAGCATGACGGCATACCTTTGAGCATGATGGCATACCCTTGAGCATATTTGGCATATTTATACCTACGTATATATGTTTATTTTCTGGGAAGTATACAGGTTTTACGGCGAGGGGTTAGAATGTATTTTATGAAATGGTTTTCAAAGAATTTGTTTTTGCCCACTCACGCTTTTGTTTTGCGCCCCTCCAGGTTCTAGTAGCTTAGCGGGTTCGGTGGTTTTCCCAGAGGACGTCCCGGCATTTCTGACAGACACGCACCGATGTAGGGTCACCTTCGGGTGCACTATTGTTGTATCTTTTCTTTGGACTGCTGTAATCTTTAGGCTCTGAATTCAGCGTCTCACTTACGCTAGCACTTATTTTGTCACATTTCATATGCTAGTTTTAAATTATTCGTACTTTTATATTATTTCCTTTAGCTTCCGCACTGTGCACATGGCTACGTCACCTCCACGTGACGGCCAGCATGCCCTGATCTCGGTTGGGGTGTGTCATGTCGTCTCATGGTGAAATTAAAAGGATTTGTTTTTAAATTGCAACTTTAGTTGGTTTTTATATACATTCTATTCTCATTTTTGACTTTGAAAATTTTACTTGGCTCTTCAACAATTTTTAATTGGTTCCTCCAAAAAATACATGTGTGGATGTTTATGTTGTGTTAGTTCTTTCTTTGCAGCCATATATGAATTCTTAAAAACTATGGTAATTAATGTGGTTTTTCGGGTGGTTTTTTAAATAGGGAAAATGTGGTGAGCGACGATTTTATATTGTTATTCTCGGTTAGTATGTAATTATTTGAATATGGAAGGCATGGTATCATGCAAACAATACAACAATTGTAAATAGAAGGGGTCCTGGGGTGTGCAAAGGGTGGGTTTAGAGATGGTGAAATTTGCCTAGGTCGCAAGATTAATGCTCATGGTTTCATAGTTGTGTTGATGGCCGTGAAAACTGCCAACATTGGTCACCTCACTGTTCCTCTACAATTATTTAAGTGTTTGGATCTTTAATGACTTCTAAACTTAATGGTTTTTAACTATTTCAAAGTGATTCATAAAGTTGGATATGAATTTATTAGAAGGTGTCAATTTAAAGTATGGATTACATTTTTAAGGTCTTCAACTGTGGATAAAAAGTTGTTCATCACGTTAAAGCACATCCACCGTGGGAAACTTTCTCCAGGCTATTCACTATTTAATCCATCTAGTGAACAGTAATTGCCCTTCATGAACAGTAACTGTCTTTTGTATCTTCACCGTTGTACTTGAATAGCTCTGGCAATAGGTAATAAAATTTTTTTTTTTAAATAATACAAATAATTTTATTTGTAATATCGGATATGATTTTTAATCGGTCTCGTTATACGATTGTGTATTAAAAAATTATTTTTATTATTCCTACTTTTTCTTTTCACAAGATGCAGCACACCATTCCAAAACTTTTTTTTTTATTATTATTTTTTTTCTTCTTTTAACATGGTGCCAACGCACCATTATTTTTCTTCTTCTTTTCACATCCAAAAGCAACCAAACCCCTACTTTCGTCAGTTTTTGTTTCCCCAAAAATGCAGAGGGAGAGAAAGAGGATGACAACAAATCAAAACTCCCCTCCGATTCGACCTCTCCCACTCCGATTCTTTGTGGGTTTTTTCCTACTTCCCTCACAACCCCGCCGATCGATCTGCTCCCGGAGAAAAATCAGCCGCCGCCGCCATGTTTCTGTTGGACTGGTTCTACGGCGTCCTCGCCTTCCTCGGTTTGTGGCAGGAGGCCAAGATTCTGTTTCTGGGCGCCATTGCTGCAGATCCTTGATTTCATGAGTGGGAGAGGGGGTACAGTCAGAGAAAAACATGGGGACCATCGGGATTTGAGGAAGAGGGGTATTTGGCTTATTTTCGTCAGATTTCTCAAACGCTTTTGCTAATGAAGAGAGTGTTCGGTTCTTTGATTTCTTTTGTCTGCCTCCTTCTATGTTGCTTTGTTAGTTTCATTCTCCAGTGCTGGCTCATGGAAATTTGTAAAAGTGGCTGTAGATTTCTGAGAAGGTTATGTTTTTTGTGTAATCCCATTTGAGGTTAAAACTCACAAAACAAAGGAAAACAGATAAGAGAATGATGAAAATTTTGTATCCGAATCAAGGAATTGATTATTGAGAATTGAGTTTGTGATTTACAGTTCATTTTGGTATTTGATTGATAGTCGGTGCTCATAATTTGGATTTTTTTTAATTAAAATTGTTTGCAGAGAGAGAGAGAAAGAGTTCGTTCGACGCTTAAACCAGAGCCAGGTATATCTCTCCTCTTGCTTTCTCTCTACGATGTTCTATCCCAATTTCTCTCCCAATTTCTCTCAGATAGTAAGGGTTTTGGTTTGCTTTCTTGGATTAGATTTGTATATATTCCATTGCATCTCAGTTTCTCTGATTTAATAGCATAATTTATCTTGAGAATATTTGCATCTTAATACTTATTTTAATTATGTTAATTTGTCCCCTTTTCCATAGAATTTTGTGCAATGTGAATGCAGGTTATTCTCAATCCCCAGATAGTGATTATTTAACGACTTCTCCAAACTTGGCTACTCAGCTTTTCAAATACAGATCAGAGAGGAGTCAGATGAGCTAGAATCAAGTTGGTATCATTCTAAATTATTCTTAATCATTTACAACTTGCAGAATTAGTTAAATGTATCAAATGACTAGCATGTGAATTTGTGTATAGTTAAAAATAATCTTATCCTTAAGAATTATTGATTTGGGAAATTTGGTTCAGTAAATTTAGGGTTACTGATTGGGCTAATTTGGTTGATTCGTTGATCTGATTTGGATGGGTTGGAGGGTTAGTTTCTAGGAATGTTCCATTGGTGTTCTTTTTCTTCTACACAGTTACCAAAATCTCAAGTCCCCATTTGATCCTCGAGTACGACCCAATCATATTTGCAGTAATAAAATCATATTCTTGAGGTTTGGATTTTTCTCTCATGTTTCTGCCCATTATATGTTTTTGCCCAATCATATTTGCTCATTATATGTTTTTGCCCAATCATATTTGCTCATGTTTTCGCTGTTAGAAAATACACAGCATGTTCTCTAAACTAAAATACACTTCTTAGACTTCTGTTTCTTATGGAAACAGGCATCCTGCATGTTTTTTGCTTTGCATGTTTGTGCTTGAAAACTTAGATGCTAGAATAAGAACGAAACAGTTTATATTTTTTGGTCAACTGCTAAAACATTTGCCTAACCTACAGGATATATATTTTGCCACCTTGACTGCAGGGGCTAGATTTGTGTGAAGATCATGTTGCTTCTCTTTCTTCTGTTTATTAGGGAAACAGAACGATCAGTTTCGTCCTGTTAATTGTACAATGTCTTTTCATGTCAGCTAAGTTGAATGTATATAAAAACGAAGCTGCATATCTTACCGACCCCATTCACTCATCTATCCCTCTGTTCATTCATGATTGTGTTGAATTATTCAGGTAAAATGTGTTTTATTCATGCAGTTCAAGGTCCCCGCGTAAGTGAGTAAATCAGCAATCAACATCACAATAGTGTTGTGGTCTGTGACAAATGGAGACGGTAAATTTCCGGTCGCATGCTTCACCTGGAGGAGAACTCCTAGATGTTGAGGAGATGGAATATACATTTGTGTGCTGCCGATGGAGATTTGTACCAACCACCCTCCTCCATAGTCTGCTGTATTATAAACAACACAGAAAGTTTATGAATGGGAAAACATTACTCTAATGATATCAGCATGTAACTGAGTCACTATCAAATTTGTTAATCTTTTTGCTGCAAATTATGCAAAAGAAAATTATTTGTTGTCACAATCAAAGTTGAGTCAGCATGTAACTGAGTCAATGGCATGTTCGTAAATATAGAGAAATTTGGGTCCAAAAACTATTTGACAGCCGAAATCCTATGTCTAAGTAACAGCCTCAACCAAGGCCAAACACAATCCTCTCTCACTCCTCCCTCCCTCCCCCAACTCTGCCGCGTTCCTCTTCCGCCATGCCAAGAACCCACATCCCCATTATGAACGTCGGAACTTCTCCACAAATCTCAGCTGGGTTAGTACATTTTCTTTAGTTATCATCTTTTAGTTGTTTAATTTTTTGAATCCATTCTTCTCTGAAACTCTTTCATTCACGCACGTCGTCGGTCTTTTATAAGCTCATGTTCTTAATTAGCTAGCAAATGAGTTTGAGTTGTGCGCAGATATTCTAACGGTTGATGACACATGTCAATGTCATTAACTAATATGGAAGAATTGAAAATTAGGAACTCCTGATATCATTAGAGTAATGTTCCAGAGATCATTTTCCCATTCATTAACTTTCTGCGTTGTTTATAATACAGCAGCACTATGGAGGAGGGTGGTCGGTACAAATCTCCACCGGCAGCACACAAATGTATATTCCATCTCCTCAACATCCTAGGAGTTCTCCTCCAGGTGAAGCATGCGACCGGAAATTTACCGTCTCCATTTGTCACAGACCACAACACTGTTGTGATGTTGATTGCTGATTTACTCACTTACGCGGGGACATTGCAGACTGCCAACATTCTCCAAGCTTCCAACAATACAAATATATATGAACTGATGAACAACATCAGCCTCTTGTGCGGAACTCTTGCGTTGGTTCTATTGGTGCTCCTCCTTGTTCCAGCTTTCGGGTGGTTTACTCTTGCATGTTGGGCCGTATATTTTGCGATAATTGGGACCAAGTCCTACCAAACGCTAAGAACACTGTGTACTGACGCTGTTCCTTATGTCCGTGACAAAATGAAGGAGCTGATGAGGAGGTTGAACGGTAGCGACAACCAAATACGCGCTTCTTAGCTCTCTGTTTTCTCTCTCAGCTCTGCCTCTCGATTCATACATAATGCTTGGTGCCCAGATAGCAACTTGAGCGGCTTGATCAAGATTTCTGCCCCTGTTTCTCTTCACTTTTGAGGTTTACGACTCATTTGCTTTAAACTCGTTGAAATTATTGGCTTGTGTGTGCTTCTGTTATGAATTGCGTTTTGGTGCTTTGGGTTTTGTCTTTGTATTTTTGTGGGTAGCTTTTAGGTTTTTGAGTAAGGCTGTGTTTGTTATGGATTTGGGATTCTAATATTGCAGTTTTCAGGAGCTTATGGTTTCACAATGGTGCACTCTTTTTCTTTCCTTTTTGGTAACCTTAAAACTATATACTTAGGCTGTGTTCTATTGCCTTGAGCTGGAATTCAAAACTTCAGTTGGTGTGACATTGAATTTATTATTGAAGGCTAGCTCCTTTCCATTAGTTAAGCACATTGGACAAAGCTGCATTCAAATTGAAAAAATAAATAAAAATAAATCAGCAATCCGAATTTGTAAAGAGCTCAAACATATTTCGCTTTGGTCATCTACATACAACAATCGTAAAAATTAAAAGGAAATTATTCTATCTGTTTGCTTGTAGTACAAGGAAATTTAAGGTCTTCTGGGCAATGTTTCCCTCTTGTCCGGAACTCTTGCCTTCATTATGTTATTGTAGATCCTGGTACCGGCTTTCGGGTGGTTCGCTTTCGCCTTGTGAACGGTTTGTTTTGTGAGAGTTGCAACTTGGTCGTACCAATACTTGAAAGCATCTTGTGGAAGTGTAAATTGAAAGGAAAAAAATAATCAACAATCTGAATTTGCAAAGAGCCCAATGATATTTCGCTTTGGTCATCTACATTTAGCAATTGTAAAAATTAAAGGAAACCATACCAGATCACTTCGCTCATCTCCTACAGGTGCTGAAAGACCACTTGGTTCATGAGTTGGCGTCCCTTACCTTACCATAGATAAACATCAAAACCCACAACCAAGTTCACTATAAAATGCACAAAATAAAAAATAACAACCAAACCCACAAATTTAATCGAACAATTCTACAAAATCTAGAAAAAATTACTAAATCTCACAGATAAAATAACCTCAAAATCACCCAGAAATTTAATGAAGAATTCTCTAAAACCAGAAGTTTAAACAAGAAATTCTACAATCATAAAAATTTTACTAAATAAATTTGACCAATTTAATGTTGTCTATATTGAGGGAAAACCAATAGTAATTAACTAGAAAATATGCTCGCGCGTTGTTGCGGGACTTGAATGCATCATCTTGAACTGCATAAATAAAACACATTTTACTTGAATAAATTCAACACAATCATGAATGAACAGAGGGATAGATGAGTGAATGAGGTCAGTAAGATATGCAGCTTCGTTTTTATATACATTCAACTTAGCTGACATGAAAAGACATTGTACAATTAACACGATGAAACTGAACGTTCTATTTCCCTAATAAACAGAAGAAAGAGAAGCAACATGATCTTCACACAAATCTAGCCCCTGCAGTCAAGGTGGCAAAATATATATCCTGTAGGTTAGGCAAATGTTTTAGCAGTGGACAAAAAAATATAGAAACTGTTTCGTTCTTATTCTAGCATCTAAGTTTTCAAGCACAAACATGCAAAACAAAAAACATGCAGGATGCCTGTTTCCATAAGAAACAGAAGTCTAAGAAGTGTATTTTAGTTTAGAGAACATGCGTGTATTTTCTAACAGCGAAAACATGAGCAAATATGATTGGGCAAAAACGTATAATGAGCAAATATGATTGGGCAAAAACATATAATGGGCAGAAACATGAGAGAAAAATCCAAACCTCAAGAATATGATTGTATTACTGCAAATATGATTGGGTCGTACTCGAGGATCAAATGGGGACTTGAGATTTTGGTAACTGTGTAGAAGAAAAAGAACACCAATGGAACATTCCTAGAAACTAACCCTCAAACGCATCCAAATCAGATCAACGAATCAACCAAATTAGCCCAATCAATAACCCTAAATTTACTCAACCAAATTTGCCCAATCAATAATCCTTAAGGATAAGATTATTTTTAACCATACACAAATTCACATGCTAGTCATTTGATACATTTAACTAATTCTGCAAGTTGTATTTCTGTAAATGAGAATGAAAATGTAACTTTTGGTCTTATACTTTCAGAACCAATAAACATCTCTCAAAAGTTGTTTCATTTATTTCATTCCAAAGAAATTTTTTGTTTGGACAGATATTCGAACAAAATACTCTCTGATTGGGATAGAACTTCGTAGAGAGAAAGCAAGAGGAGAGATATACCTGGCTCTGGTTTAAGCGTCGAACGAACTCTTTCTCTCTCTCTGCAAACAATTTTAATTAAAAAAAAAAATCCAAATTATGAGCACCGACTATCAATCAAATACCAAAATGAACTGTAAATCACAAACTCAATTCTCAATAATCAATTCCTTGATTCGGATACAAAATTTTCATCATTCTCTTATCTGTTTTCCTTTGTTTTGTGTGTTTTAACCTTAAATCTACAAAATCTAGAAAAAATTACTAAATCTCACGGATAAAATAACCTCAAAAGCACCCAGAAATTTAATGAAGAATTCTCTAAAACCAGAAGTTTAAACGAGAAATTCTACAGTCATAAAAATCTTACTAAATAAAATTGACCAATTTAATGTTGTCTATATTGAGGGAAAACCAATAGTAATTAACTAGAAAATATGTTCGCGCGCTGTTGCGGGACTTGAATGCATCACCTTGAACTGCATGAATAAAACATATTTTACCTGAATAAACTCAACACAATCATGAATGAACAGAGGGATAGAGGAGTGAATGGGGTCGGTAAGATATGCAGCTTCGTTTTTATATACATTCAACTTAGCTGACATGAAAAGACATTGTACAATTAACACGAAGAAACTGAACGTTCTGTTTCCCTAATAAACAGAAGAAAGAGAAGCAACATGATCTTCACACAAATCTAGCCCCTGCAGTCAAGGTGGCAAAATATATATCCTGTAGGTTAGGCACATGTTTTAGCAGTTGACAAAAAAATATAAAAACTGTTTCATTCTTATTCGAGCATCTAAGTTTTCAAGCACAAACATGCAAAGCAAAAAACATGCAGGATGCCTGTTTCCATAAGAAACAGAAGTCTAAGAAGTGCATTTTAGTTTAGAGAACATGCATGAGAGAAAAATCCAAACCTCAAGAATAGGATTGTATTACAGCAAATATGATTGGGTCGTACTTGAGGATCAAATGGGGACTTGAGATTTTGGTAACTGTGTAGAAGAAAAAGAACACCAATGGAACATTCCTAAAAACTAACCCTCCAACCCATCCAAATCAGATCAACTAATCAACCAAATTAGCCCAATCAGTAACCCTAAATTTACTCAACCAAATTTCCCAAATCAATAATCCTTAAGAATAAGATTATTTTTAACTAAACACAAATTCACATGCTAGTCATTTGATACATTTAACTAATTCTGCAAGTTATAAATGATTAAGAATAATTTAGAATGATACCAACTTGATTCTAGCTCATCTGACTCCTCTCTGATCTGTATTTGAAAAGCTGAGTAGCCAAGTTTGGAGAAGTCGATAAATAATCACTATCTGAGGATTGAGAATAACCTGCATTCACATTGCACAAAATTCTATGGAAAAGGGGACAAATTAACATAATTAAAATAAGTATTAAGATGCAAATATTCTCAAGATAAATTATGCTATTAAATCAGAGAAAACTGAGATGCAATGGAATATATACAAATCTAATCCAAGAAAGCAAACCAAAACCCTTACTGTCTGAGAGAAATTGGGAGAGAAATTGGGATAGAACATCGTAGAGAGAAAGCAAGAGTAGAGATATACCTGGCTTTGGTTTAAGCGTCGAACGAACTCCTTCTCTCTCTCTGCAAACAATTTTAATTAAAAAAAATCCAAATTATGAGCACCGACTATCAATCAAATACCAAAATGAACTGTAAATCACAAACTCAATTCTCAATAATCATTGATTCGGATACAAAATTCTCATCATTCTCTTATCTGTTTTCCTTTGTTTTGTGAGTTTTAACCTCAAATGGGATTACACAAAAAACATAACCTTCTCAGAAAACTACAGCCATTTTTACAAATTTCCATGAGCCAGCACTGGAAAATGAAACTGACAAAGCAACATAGAAGGAGGCAGACAAAAGAAATCAAAGAACCGAACACATTAGCAAAAGCGTTTGAGAAATCTGACGAAAATAAGCCAAATACCCCTCTTCCTCAAATCCCGACGGTCCCCATGCTTTTCTCTGACTGTACCCCCTCTCCTACTCATGAAATCGAGGATCTGCAGCAATGGCGCTGAAATCCCCACTCATCTCTCTCTCTCTGTGATGCGGCATGGCCTCCCATCCCCGAAACCCACACCGAACGAAGAACGAAGAGGTGGTGGCAATTTTGTAAATAACGTGAAATCCACCAAAATATCAATATACAAGGTTGTGATTTTCACATACCCTTAACTACTTTTCTCACACCCTTCCATATTTTTTAATACTTAATTGGTATCCTACTATTTAATCTTCCATATATGCCCCTCCCTATTTAATCTTTCAATTAATTACCATCAAAAAGTAGGAAGGGTATATATGAAAAATTAAATAGTAGGTTAAAAAATAGGATGGGATGTGGGAAAAGTAGTTAAGGGTATGTGAAAATCACAACCCTATATACAACTCAGATCAGGAAACACACCTAGTAATGTGATATTTAGCATGTGACTAGAAGTAGGGCCCGCGCGTTGCTGCGGGATTACAAAAATGTGAGTATAATATAGACAGATATGTAAAGAATGATGAAGTTTGAATCAAATGTGTATAAGGGCTTGTGAAAATGATGGTATTCAAATGAAAGTCTGTATAAAAGTGAAGGAATAGAAAAGGAAAAATATGACACATACAATTTTTTTGACTTGAAAATTTGGTCTCATTGTTTAGGTATTTTGGTGCAAATGGCAGAATTAAATCAAACATGTTGAAAAGTGAAATGATGTGTAAAAAGATGGATCAGATATATCTAGTTTGGTATCTCTTTGCAATACAGAGACAGTTTGTTGATGTATTTTAGTTCAATCATCACTTCCATCTTTTCTCTTCAGAGGAATTGGTGCTACCTATTTATACACAATCACTTTCTTCTTTTGACCTATTGTGAACACATGGTTAACCGGTTGTTTGTCCAATGAAAGGTTTAAGCTGGACATATATAAGTATAAATGCAGGTACTCTGATTGAAGATATACTTTATACATATGTACAACTCAAGTTATCAATGGTCAAGCAAGGAATAAGGCTTGTATTCAGATTAGGTAAAAAGAAGACAGTCGGTATATACATTGGTAGTAGCCAATTCCCCTAAAGAGAAAGGTTAGTAAATATTGAATTTAAATGAAAACTCAGCAAGAAAGAATATTAGGAAAACATACCATTAAATCGTTGTATTGTGATTGAGGATTTAGACGATACCTATAAGAGGTTTTCTGTAAGCTTAACCATACAACGAAGAAGATGAATAGAAATTAGTTTTTTAAGCTGGTTTTTTTGTTTATATTTTTATTTTTTATGCATGAGCAAGAAAAGGTACTGTATCATAATATTAGTGGGTTAGAGAGTATAATAAGAAAAAGAAACATAACCTTTGTGGAGACTGATGTAGTCTGTGGTATACCTGCACCAAGGTTGTGTAATCTAATTTAGTTGCGAACATTGGGAAATGTAACGTAGCATAGTTAATGGTTGTTGTAGTAGTTGTATAGAGAAAATTGTGCTGCTTCAAGAGTCGATAAGTATTAAAAAGATGCAATTTTTTTGTTATAGTTGGGTAGAAAACATATACTTTAAACTTCTCAATGTGTTCTTTAGGAGTGCATTAAGGATTCAACTGAATTTTACTTCTTCTTTTTCAATCTTGCTCTCAGTTGTGCACTCATCTGCCTTCCAATCGTTACCATTTGTTCATTATTTGTATAAATGAAAACTAAAAAGGTATAATACTGTTAAATGAAATCCCAAAATAATTGGGTAAAAGCATTTTAGATCATTTCAATTAAATCTTAAATTGAAAAGAACACTTCAATCTAACTAAAAGTACACAAAGCAAAAAACAAAGACAAAAAAAATGTTTAAACTAATCTAGAAGCCAAAATGATCGCCCAACCTCAGTAAATTAATAATAAAATTGTAAACCCATTTAAATTCACAGGAAAATCAAAAACTTGAAATCGGTAAACATTGTACCTTGAAAGGGGTATATGCACAAAGCTCTTCGAGACTGATCCGAATTTTGACATTGGAGATTAAAGTAGAGTCTGATTATCAAGGTTTTGCAGTAAGGATCGTAAAATACATTAGGATAAAACACTTAAAACGGAATTTATATGTTTAGACAAAACGCTATGAAATCAAGGCTTGAAGAAATTTGCCCCTCCTCCGAAGATGGAGGGAGGGCGCAAATAAAATCCAAAGTTATTTTGTTGCGCAGCATTGATTGAAACCAATAATGAAGACAACTGGAAAAAAAATAAGTGGAAAGCAGACTGAGTTTGTCTTTTTAAAAAACGATTAAAATCTGAAACAATTATATACACCAATCACAACAACTGAAGTTTCCTTTGTTAAACAACGATTAAGATGTAAAGCAACCACAAATACGAATTCGAAACGCGAAAGAACAACAGCAACTCAACCTGTATCAGATTATGTTTCAAACATGTACAATTGAGGAAAAAAAAAATTACTCACATGGAAAACCAATTTATTTGAACCATCATAAACACAACAGATAAAACCAACTTGGCAAGGCTTATTTCAAATAAACACAAAGTAAGAATCGAAAATTACACATAGTTGTTGTAAACATACCTAAGCTCAATGTGACTGTTTTATCAATAATCTGAAGAGGTAGCATATGAGCAGGCTCCAAATTTAACAAAAAAACTTGTCGCAACCTGCAGATTTGCAAAAAAATAGAAACAAAGATTTGACATTTTACTTCAAAGGTGAAAAATGCAAAAGAAAGGATACAATGAAACAAAAGAAATTATAGATGATAAAAGTTTGAATTCCGAATGGAGAAAAATGCTAAATTAAGATAGAATGCATTGAGCAATATCTAGTCTCCGTTACTAAGGTATTTTATACTGATGAAAAGCTTAAACTGGAACAATGGCTTGGTTTCTCATATTTTTTGTTATTTTTGTTTTTGTTCACCAATGTTAATATACAGCTACTTTAATCATGTTGCATAAAAAATATAAGCATTTATATACATCTCACTTAAATAAACAATTTGATCACAAATTTTGCAAGACATCTTTAAAAACTATGTTTGCAGTATAGTTGTTTGCAATATTTTCTCCATCTGGAATCAAAATTTTGAGACCTTCTTTTGATGTAACTCTAGATAATGCTACATATAATTGTCCATGGGTGAAAACAGGTTCTGGAAGATATAAACCAACTTGTTTCAAAGATTGCCCTTGGCTCTTATTAATAGTCATTGCAAAACACGGTCTAATTGGGAATTGACGTCTTTTAAAAATAAAAGGCCACTTATTCTCTGTTGCTGTAAGAGTGATTCTCGGAATGAATACTTTGTGACCAATATTGTTTCCAGTAAGTATTTTAGCCTCTACAATTCTGCTAAATAATTGAGTCACAATTAATCTGGTTCCATTACACAAACCTAAAGACTGATTTAAATTACGTAATAGCATAATTGGCATTCCTATCTTCAAAATTAGGTTATGTGTAGGTAAACCATTGAAATCCAATTTATTCAAAAATTCAACAGGATATAATGTTTCCAAATTTTCAATATTTCCATTTGAAGAACACAAAGAATCATAGCTTAGAAACACATGTTGTTCTCCAGGTAACAAATCTATTATATAATTATTTATATCTGTAACAGTTGTGTTTCGAGGTGTTATAATAGCACGTTCTCTCAAATAGGCAAAATTTTCAAAAGAATTTTCAAAATTGGGATAAGTTGCTAAAAAAATTGATAAAATTGGATTTCCAAAAGAATGAACTATCAAATCTTTAGGTATTTGAATCAAAAATGTGTCTTTATCATCTGAACTATTTTCACCAATTTTTCCATCACCTATTTGTAAAATCCAATTTGCGAAATCACTGATTTTTTTCTTTTCATCAATGCTTAATCCATTTTTTGATAATCTCATGTTTTCTGTTAAATAAAAAATTTTAAAATGTAACCACAAATAAGAACTATTCAAAGAAGCATTTATTATATCTTCTTTGCTTCCTCCAGGTATAACAGGTAATATTTGGCGAAAGTCACCACCTAATAAAAGAGTTTTACCACCAAAAGGAATATTATTTTGTAATCCATTTAAGTGGGACATAATGTCAGAAAGAGATTTATCTAATGCTTCAAAACAATGTTTGTGATTCATAGGTGCTTCATCCCATATAATTAGATCCGTTTTTTCGATTAATGTAGCAAGGTGAGTTTTCTTTTTTATTGCACAAATTGAAGAATCAGTAAGGACCAGGGGTATTTTAAATCTGGAATGTGCTGTTCTACCAGCTGGTAATAACAACGAAGCTATTCCTGATGATGCCACAGCTAAAACAATTTTTCTCTCAGATCTAAACTTACTTATAATAGCATCCCATAAGAAAGTTTTTCCAGTGCCTCCATGACCATAAACAAAAAATAGTCCACCTTTTTTCTTGTCTACAGCATCTATAACAGAATTATAAATAAGTTTTTGACCTTGATTAAGTTGCGATTTTAAAAGTGTGTGTTTTTTGACAATTCTTCACAATCATAATTTAATTCTTCTCTTAAAAGTTTATTTTTAATTTCTAACATTTTTTTTGCATCAGGCATTGGTAAATGATATTTGGCCAAAGAACTTGATGCATTATTAAAAAGTAATTCTAACTCAAACAATACAGAATTTTTTAATTCATCCTGTGGTATGATCATATCAGGAATTGCAAAAGTTTTTCGCAAATTGTACAAAATGTCATCATACATGTTTTGCCAATGAGTATCAAAAAGAATTTGAGGATTTCCCACATCGCAGAACAAAATTATTGTAACAAATAATTGTCTCAATTGAGGAGAAGAAGCAACATTTACAGCACTTGATAAAGCCTCAATCCATTCTTTATCATCTCCTAATAATCCCAATGATTGACAGGCAGCATGATATGAAGGATGTATAATACCATTAACAGTTCTTATATCATCAAAGCTTAATGCACCTTTTTTCAAATTCAAAAGCATTCGCAAGTAATATAATTCACCAGATGCAGGATGCACATATGCTATTCTACCTATTGAACCTTTTTGTTTTCTTGGTTTCCAAATTTTTTTCCTCGTATCATATAAAAATTTTGAAGGAATTTGTGCATAAGTGAGTGCGCGTGCTTCGTTATAAATTTTGTTAATTTCAAACCAACTTGTTAACATTGTATGGTCAGAAGCATTTTGTTTAAGAATTGAATGGATTGATTGATCCCCACTGAAAACAATATTTTGTTCTAATGGTAAATGCACCGGTAATCGTTCCACAGAAGGTTCCCTATGATGTATAGAATATTGGAACAATCTCCAAACAGCTTCATAAGGTGATATGTATCGACAGTTTAGATACGTTAATATTTCATCATTTGGATCTTGTTGAATGACTAACCGTGCTCTATCTGAACCTTTATTTACATATTTGAACAAATATTTTATAAGCATTGATTGACAGCAGGATTCAACGTTTATGTGTGCATTATATCTTAAAAGTAATTCACCGTTATAAGGAACCACAAAACCGTTATCAATTTTGATTCCATTTTTTATCACATATTTTGTATCATCATCACGACGCCTATAAACAGGAAAACCATTGTCTTCAAAAATTGTGTTATTTTTATATGGCTTAGGAAAGTTTTTGGAACACTTATTTTCTCGCATGCAAGGAGAATTTTGATTAATATGTCCACATGGCCCATGAATCATAAATTGGTTAACAATTTCATAAAGCTGAGGATTGACAAATTTGTCTGGTAATTCAGCAGAAATAATTGAATCTATATCTGATGCCATATAACATTTAAAATCCGATTTCAACCAGATTAACATATGAGAATGAGGCAAACCTCTTTTTTGAAATTCAATTGTACAAACATCTGTTTCCAAAAATAATTGAAACAAACAAAAACCCAAAAAAAAAAAGGGTTAGCCTGATGAAGCAAAAAAAAGGAAAAAAAATTCAGATAAGGGAAAAAATAAGTTTTAAGAAACTTACTTGCCTCAACCTGTCCAAAGGGCTTTCCAGATTTAATGAAATCGAGCATATCATCAAGTTTCATTTTAAATATTCTAGAAATTATATCAGGCCTATCCTCAGGCTTGTATCCTGGTTTTTTTTC